TGATCGCGGCCGCTTCGGGTAGTTGCGTCAGCCAATGTGGTGTGCGCCACGGGCCCGTTCGTTGTGTGGCTCGGGTCGACAACTCAAACGTACAAGCTGAGTGGTCCGAGCGCGTGTAAGCGTGTACGTGTGTTGACTGGGTCGGGGCGCTAACGTACAGAGTCTCCGAGACAAAAATGTAATCTAACCTGTTTCTGTGGCACGGGCTAGTGTACGAGATCGTGGTGGGGTTGTCCTGGCGGTACGCGTCCACCAGACGGAGTTCGCTGAGCCAGCGCAGGAGCTGTTTGACCCCCTGGAGGTTCTCCGGCCGTGGCTCGAACGAGTCGAGGGCGCCGGACAGAATGACGTTAAAGTCGCCGCCGACAATGTGATCTGCGTCGGGTTAAAGCGCTTGGGGAGCGCCGCGAAGAAGGCCGCGCGCTTGTCCGGTTCGGCTGGGGCGTAAATGTTGTGGAGATAGAGCACCTTGCCGTGGAAGCGCCCACGGGCCAAGACGTACCTGTTGTCGAGCTCCGGGGCATGTTCTGGTACTTGGATGAGGTTGGTGATCGGAGCGTGTGGGTGCACCATGGTGAGTACGAGTGCTCGTTGATGTTGGTCGCGCAGCGAGGCGGGCATTCGAACCACTCACCTTGATGTTGGACGAGCTGGCCCCACTTGTGGCTGGCCGTCGCGCTGACGTGCGGGTTGGGGAACTTGGTTTCCTGGATGAACGTGACGGCCGACTTAAGCGCGAACGAGCATAGAGTCTCGTGCAGCTTCGCGCCGGCGTTCACGCCGTTGACATCGAGTGACGTTACCTTCAGCGTCGTCGGGTGGAGGGGCTGCAGACCGTTGGGCTGCAGATTGGGTGCAATGGCGTCTCCCCTCCGAGACGCCACTGCAGCGGCCGCTTGGACCGCTTTAGTTCTGACGGGGCTCCGGCGCACCCATCGAGGCGGCAGCCAGAGCCGATCGCGCGGTCGCGGCCTCGAAATAGCGCTCGAGGGCACCGAGGTAGTACGGCGAGATCTGTCGGTCGGCGATGGCGGCCCGGAACTCGGGTAGTTGTACGAGCTTGGCCAACGACTCCTCGGCCCAGCCCTTGTCGGAGCGCGTCCGGAGCGACGGGGCGCCCGTCCACGCCGCAAAGCAGTCGTCGTTGAAGTACAGATCGGGGATGTAGGTGATGAGGAAGGGATCAAATGCGGCGACGTCCGCGAGCTCCATCCGGCGGGCGTCGTCGGGCACAAGAGCGTGCGTGACGGAGATCGAGTCCTTGTTGGCGGTAGGCGCCTCGTTGACCAACCGACTCAGGGCTGCGAGGCACAATGGGCTTGGATTTTGCTTGGAGATCTCGCGCCAGAGAATGTGGGCGTGAGTAGCCATGCGCGCGGCTTCGGGGCTCTGGTCGAGCATCGCGAGCGTAGCGTGTGGCTCGGCCATCATTTGCTCGATGATCGTCATCGGGGTCGGTGCTACTTGGACGCGCGTGGCGATTTCTTGCACGACCTGCTTTGTGGGGCGCTGGCCGAGCTTTTCCATATGCTTGGCGCTGCCGTGCTTGCGGTTGGGGCGCTTCTTGGTGGTGCCGTGTGTAATCTTGATCTGGCGGGGGATGGCGGCGCGTTCGTCTGCCATTTCATCGTCTTCCTCGGTCTCCTCTACCTCCTCGTCGTCGCGGAGGACGGTAAAAGCGTTGGCCGTGGGGATCGCGTCCAGTGTCGGCACGTAGAACATGTCGGGACGGTCTTGGATGAAGTACACCGGAGTACTTGGCTGGGCGGTCTTCGGTGGGAGCGTGCGTGGCTGGGCAGCGGGTGGCTGCGTGACGGGTGGAGTCCCGTTCGTGGCGGGCGGCGTCGAGGGGTTGAGACCAGCGGTGGCCTGTTGCGCTGTGGAAGTTGGGGGAAGGCCTGACGACTCCGCGGCCAAGGCGGGGTCGGCGACGATCTGGACTTCGGGGGTTGGCGTGGCAGCTGGCGGCTGCGTCGGGTTTGTTGAGCCTACAGGTGTTTCACCTAGGGTCGCGCGCAAGCGGCGTGCGTCCGCCTCGGCCCAGCGGCCGGCAACGGACGGTGGAACCGTCTTGTTAAGGTAAGCCAGTTTATGACGGAAGACGAGAGTTACCTCCTCACCTAGTTTCTCGTCCACGACCGTGACCTCGCGCAATGACGTGGTTTCTGTGAGGCGGAGGACGGCAGGGACTTCTTTGGTGCGGAAGACGATCCGGAACGCACCGCCGCGGAAGTCGTCCAGACGAGATGGGTTGTAGGCCGCCAGCAGCGCGTTCGTACGGAGCGCAAACCACTTGACGAGGGCCGTTTGGACATGGTGGTCGGGGACAGAGTCGAACGTGATGTAGTACTTGTCGTCGTACGGCGAGTATGACGGTACCGTGAGCTCGGGCATTTCGTTGGCCTCTTCTTGATCAAGGATGAACGAGCGACCCGCGATCTTGTCGCTCGTCTCCTTGTCCGCCGCTGCGATATAGATCGCAGTCGGCGAGACCTTGACAAGCGTGAGCGAGTGGCGAAGGGAGTGCCAGAACGGGCCGGTGTTGTACTTGCTGAAGCCAACCGCATCGCAGTTCACTGCTGCGATATCCGACTGGCCGAGCACAGTGGGCCAAGCATGGCCAAGACGAGAGCCACGACAAGGGCCACGACAAAGGCCACGACAAAGGCCGCGACGAAGCGCGCCTGTCAAGTCGCCGCCGCCGTGGTCGACCTGGAAGGCGCCGTCATTGCGATCGTCCAGTGCTTGGACCGCGCGAGCGATGTCACGGCCTTGCTACAGGCGCTGCCACACGCCTCGCTCGGCACGCCACTCACCGCGCTCCTCGCGCTCCTCAACGAGCCGGGGCCGTTGGCCCACACGTGGCCCGAGCTTCTTCTGGACGACGTCAACTTTCAGCACCCGGCATTCGTCGCGCTCATTCTGCAGGCGATGCCAGTGCTTCTCAGCGTCCGCGCCGCGCACCGCCACTTGTTTGGGTGCCTCCTGCAGCCCGACGACTCGACCATCGACGCGCCCGACGGGTTTCTCAACTTTGTCGCGCAGTACCCGCGCACGATGATGCATGTACACGCCGCGTGGCGGGACGCAATGGACTGCACCGTTTTCTGCAACGCGCTGCGTCGCTGCACGCGCCTCACGACGGTCCATGTGGTCGCGGATGCGCAGGCAGCGGCTGTGCTGGCTGCAATCACGACGCCAGCCCACCGCGTGACGCGTTTGTACATCACGGAGATGCCCGGAGGTATCATGGACGCAATCGACTGGGCGTCGCTTCTGCGGCCATGGCTCGCCAGTGGGCACGCTCGCCATGTGACCTTTTCGAACGTCCCGATCACCGACGTCCAAAGCCTCGCCGAAGCGCTTTTGAGAAGCTCGTCGCTGCACAGCCTCGGCGTGCACAACAATGACAAGCTGCTTCGCAGCCTTCTCTCTCAGGATATGTCCCTGCGTCAGTTGAACCAAGTGAGCGTCACGACCCAAGTGGCTGCGCTCCTGCCTCGTCTCTTGGGACGTTTGAGCCTCAGCACGCTCACGTCGCTCTCGCTCGAGTGCGACATGGATCACTCGGAGACGCTGGCGCTCCTCCCGTCCATGCCATCGCTGCGCCACCTCGCGCTCACTGGCGGTCATCTCGGTGAGCTCGACTGCATCTTGGCGTGGCCGCACCTCAAACGCCTCACGTGCAGTCGCGTTCACTTGACGCCGAGGACACTGGACGCGATTCTATGGTACCTGGGCCGCGTCGACGGCCTTGAACACTTGCTCTTGGATGTGGCCGACTTGGATGAAATGTACTTTGTCTACGTGGCGCAAAGACTGGGCCATTTGATGGAACGCGGTCTCCAGTCGGCGTCGTTTGGGAACGCCGACCTCCACGATAGCAGCGCCGCTTTGCTGGCACTGGCGCTGCGCCAACGACGCCACGGTGTCGTCGCCGTTGATGCTGGACGTCGGCGAGCACAGCTTGAGCATCGACGGCATCCGCATGGTACTGGAGGCCCTTGCAATCTGCAAATTCGTGTGCATCAAGATGGTGCCCATCGATGGCACCGAGCTCGCGCCGTTCCACGACGAGATCCAAGCGTTTGCCGCGGCCCACTGCATGATTTGCGACTTGACGTACCCGCCGTTCATGCTCTGTAGTCCCACCGACGTTGTATATGAGCAACGGTAGACGACGCCATGTACAGTACAGAGTTAGTTGTTTAGTGTAAAGTATACCTGAATCGTCACACGTCAACATGTTGCATTCTCTCATCTTGCCTCATTAGGCCAAAACAATCTGTCCCTTCTTGACGGCCAGATCGAGAGAGCACACGGCGTTTGGTTTGCCCAATTGGAGACCACGGCTCCGAATTGGATGCATCTTTTGACGAGTAATCGCTCGCATGTGATCGGTGGTCTTGCACTTGAGGCTTGTCGTTGGGTTTCCTAGCACGTCGTCGGGCTCGGCGCCCTCGTCAACAGCGCAGGCGGGGATCCATAGCGATCCATTATCAGCGTCTCGCTGCCCGTCGGCAAGGCCGCCGTCGCGTGGAAGGTCGTCATCATCAGCGGCGCCGCATACTTGTACAGCGACTCGCTCATGTGGCCGGGCACACGCCCTTCTTTATGTGTCCATCTCCTTGGTCGGACCGCCGATTCGTGGCAAGAGCTCGACGTTGTGCCTGAAAGATGTCGGCCAATGGCATCGCTGCGAATGTTGGCCTTTTGGCCAATCAAAAGAGGCCCTTTCAATCTGACGCCATTTCGCCGCCGACGACGATGGGCCTCGCGAGGCTCCATGACGACTTCTTGGCGCAGATCTGCGCTGCGTGCACCGTGGCCGACCTTGGCGCGCTTGTCGCCGTGAGCAAAAGCTTCGAGCGACTCTTCCGCCCGTACTTTATCGACGCGTGCAAGCGCTACTGCTTCCTCGACTACCTCACGCCATCGATCGCCGCGTACCGCATGGCCTCGCCCGTGCCTCGCGTACGAAGATGACGCAGCAGCATCTACTGACGCGATGAACTAGACGTGGCCAGCGCTCTACAAGGCGTTCACGTCGTCGCGCCACATGTCGTGGTCTGCATGCGCGTCCGAGGTCAGCAGTGGCCTGCGCAAGCTCAAGGTCGACCCGACCGAGTACGCAGTCGACGGCGCCTACCTGCTTCGGTAATCCACTTATCCGTCCATCCACCTCTCCATCAACATCACAGTGACGCCATGGACATCCTATTAGGTGTGGCGGTCATTACCTCTTTAGCCTCTGGCAGATACCACTCGCATCGATTCACATCACTTCCTCAAACGACGACGACCCGCGCTTTGGAACCCTCGACATGGCCACGTGGGAGAAGGTCCGCCCAGTTGGCGCCGGCCCGTGCCCACGACGCAACCACTCGATCACGGCGCTGCCACCGCTTTTTGTCGCACGCTCGATTGTCTGTGGCGACGACAACGAGTTTGCCAACCAGCACTGGCGCCGCCTCATCGTCTTTGGTGGCCAAGCCGAGACGTATCCGTTTCAGGCATTTAACGATCTCTACCTCTGCTGCCAGACCCGCGAGTAGGCTCTACTAGTCTCCACGATCCAGAAAAGAACAAGTTGTCATCTAGTCGGGCGACCGGGAAGACCAAGGCGTACTGGGTCGAGCCCGAGACGACGGGTGTCCCGCCCTCGCCGCGCTCGAGCCATGTGGCCACGGTGCTCGACCCAATGACCGTGCTCTTCTCGGGCGGCAGCAGCGGCACGACTGCGATTCCGAATTTGGAAATTTTTCTGTTGCATCAAATCGCACACGACTACGGCGGTACTTTTAACCTTTCCTCTTTCATCTCAATCTGAATCTGAACCTGAACCTGACATCGTGCAACTAGACATGGGGCTGGGTGCGTTTCGGTGGTCGCAGCCCACGGCCGAGATGGTATCACCCATGGGACGCACGCTTCACGCGGTCTTGCAGCCCAACCGCGCCAAGCGCGAGCTCATAATCTTTGGCGGCAAGCAGGTTCGAAGCGGATACCAACGAAACACCCGTCATAGACCAAGTAGATCCGCGAGTCCAACGGCTTGTTCGACTGCCACTGCCTCACGTTTCTGGATGCGAACCTGACCGAGATGGCGTGGTCGAAGCCCACCCTCTGCGGTCCGCGACCGTCGGACCGCCGCGGGCACAGCACGACGCTGATCGGGCAGCGGCATTTGCTCGTCTTTGGCGGTCAAGACAGCGCGACGCACGAGCTCGAGAATACAACGTACGAGTTGGACGCGATGCAGCTGCGCTGGTCGACGCCGACGATCCGTGGGCGTCCGCCAAGCCCGCGCCGTGGGCACAAGATGCAGTTTTTTGGCTCGCGCATGGTTGTGCAGAGCGGGTTCACGTGGAACGAGTGCCATAGCGTGGCCAACACCAAGCTGCCCGAGACAGACGCCCACGTTCTCTCCTTTCTGCCAGTCGTAGAGAGTACGAGCTCGTTAACCTAAGCGCATCATTGCGAGAGGGTTCTATCGATTGCTTCTTTCATACAAGTAAATGTATGCAAGCAATGCTCAAGTCGGCATGAGACTGCCTCTGTCGATGGGGTTTGTCGAAGACGTCAATAAATTGCGTAGCTCGCCTGGAAGGATTTTACAAAGCTCGTCGGCGTCGGCCTCGCAAGCGTCCCTGGACGATGACAGAAGAGCACGATGCAATACCGCCTGCGCCGCCACGACCCGGTGAGCGAATAAGAAGAAGGAGATGGATAGTCTCGACGCATGCAATGTCTTTGTCATGACAAAGCTACCGCGCAGCACATTGATACTGAGAGAGTATGCGACCAAGATCATCGACCAACGCTTATTGCGCATTGCCAGAGAGCTCTGCCCATTGAGCGTAGCTTCTGGCTTTGCTTTTTCATACGAGCACGCATGCGATGGTCCATGGCTCGTCCATGGACAGCGCAAGACCGAGGCGGAGCGGCCATACAGAAGTAGGGCCTCGCCGTCGGCGCCTGGGAGGGACGAGGATCTGCTTGGTCCAGGCCATCGAGCCGCCCTGCTTCTACTGCGTCTTGCCCTACATACCGGCACGACGCCTCTGCGTAGTCACCCAAGTTGGCGGCTAGTGGCGCCACGTTGAGGTTGCTCGGACCAAGATTTGCATCCGGATGACTGGCGCTTCGTATCCGGATGACAGTCCAATGCACGGATGAGCTCATTTTCAAAGTCGCCTCCGCATCCGCAGCATTAGCAGCATGGCTTCGTCGCTTCGCCACAAGGTTCTCTTCGTCCTCGGCGGCCCGGGCGCCGGGAAGGGCACGCAATGCGCCAAGATCGTGGCCCAGTACGGCTTTGTGCATCTCTCGGTAGGCGAACATGCTGCATGCGAGGCGAAAGGTAGCGTGCCATCTTCCATGGCGATGTAGGCTGGCGACTTGCTCCGCGAAGAGCGCGCGTCGGGCAGCGAGAACGGCGACATGATCGACCGCATGATCCGCGAAGGCGCGATCGTGCCCGTCAAGGTGACGCTCGACTTGATCCGCAAGGCGATGCTGGCGAGCGGCCGCGACCTCTTCCTCATTGACGGCTTTCCGCGCAACTTTGACAACCTCACGGGCTGGAACGACGAGATGACGGACGTCGACGTCGCGGGCGTCCTCTTCTACGACTGCCCCGAAGACGAGATGGAGCGCCGTCTCCTCGAGCGCGGCAAGACAAGCGGCCGCACCGACGACAACATGGACGCGATCCGCAAGCGCTTTGCGACATACACGGAGTCGACGATGCCGATCATCAACCACTTTGCGGCGCAGAACAAGGTGTTCCACATCCTCGCGACCTCGACGCCGGACGCGGTCTTTGAAGAGACGAAGAAGGCGATCGAGCCGATCGTGTCGCAGCACCTCGTCGCTACGACGCAGGTATAAGCAGGCCAATATACGACACATCCGACCACCGTGTCCTTCCTTAGCGTCTTCTCAACGCTGTGTTTCAAAACGACTTTGCGACCTACCGAGTACCTACTGCATCTAATCGACTTCAAAAGTTGCTGGCTCATGGCCCGACTAGGCGCTCTGCGACGACAATATCTCGGCCATCGAGCCGCAGTCCATGGGCCACGTCGTCGAGGTATGTGCTTCATCGACTCGGTTCCAGTAACAGATGCACATGCTCGATCGATCGGGATGGCAGGGCATGCAATTCCACGAATTTTACTTCAAGAACCAAGGCCGCGGCGGCCTCGGTGTGGCGAGTGTCTGCCAGGTACGACTCTTTTAGTTAGTTAGTCGATGCCTCCCATGCAAATCGACTAACGTGGACCGACTAGGCGAATGTTGTCGATGCGCATGTCAAGCTCCTTGGCGACACAGCGATCGTGTCGTTTGCCAACGTCATCCAGGTACCCCTAACCTCGCAGCGTCGTCTTTTCGTGGATGATGGACAACTTGTCATTACTTAGTCGGCGTCCGAGCCGTCGGTGGTGTACATGGAGACGCGCGTGTGGCACCGCGATGCGACCACGGGTGCGTGGAAGAACGTCCACTTCCACCGGTCCGCCAAGTAACACTCCACCGGTCTTCCAAGCCACACCTCGCACAAAACGCTGGAGCACGAGACAATATTGTCGTTTGTGACAAAATGTATATACACATTGCAGCATCGCGTAGTTAATAAGTAGAGGGACACGACAAGAGAGGGAGCCCTACTTGGGAATGACGTGGCGCGTGTCGCGCTCGTTGTCCGAGAGCACCATGGCGGTCGTATGGCGCAAGTTGGCTTCGTCCACGTACTGGTTGAACGTCGTCGCGTTCTCGCTATCCAAAAAAAGTATCAACTTTTCAAGTTCCAAAGTATCCAGTTGCGAAATAGTATCCATACCGGAAGACGCCGTTGTTGCGGGTCGATGACGCAACGCCTTGGTCGAGCACGTCGAGCCAGATCGGCTGCTGGCCCGCAAACGGGTTTGAGAGACCTTTCGAGATCGCAAACACTTGGCTCATCTTTTGCTGGAACCGGAGCTTGTACTGCTTGGGCGGCATGGCCGAGATGCCGTCCGGGTCCTTCCGCTTGGCGTACCGCTTGTAGAAGCGCTCAAACTTTTTTTCGAACGTCCATTGCTGGAGGAAATCAATGATGCCAAACTGGTACAAGGCCGGGCCGTTGACACTGGTCGCCATCTGGGTCGCAAACGCCGAGGCCGACTGGATGCCGTTGCCGTGTGCGCCGCCAACGATGCCCGGCTCGACGTAGTACTCGCAGCTCTGGACGCCCATGAGGAGGCTGTAATCCATGATGCCTTGGTCGTAGAGAAAGTCCGAGTCGAAGCAGATCTGGTCGTAGAGCTGCTCGGCCGAGCGCGGATCGATCCGGACCTTGGTCATCAAGTCGTTGTCCTTCAAGACAATGTTGGGCTCGTGGTAGTTGAGGCCGTCGCCGCACTCTTGCGATTTCGTGCTCCCAAACGTGTAGCGCGCGTTGCAGTAGCGGCACGTGACCTTGCCGCCGACTTTGGGCATCGTCGCGTTGCGGTCTTCCCAGCTGCCCTTGATGTCGTAGCGGTGGTGGATCACTTGCGTGTTCGCAAAGAGGTTGCCCATCACGACAAAGTAGTACATCTTGCCGTACAAGAGCACGGCGTGGCAGCCGTAAAACTTGGTCAAGAGCGAGTGCGGGTGCGACATGAGGTACGTCGCGTACTTGGGCGCCATGCGCCGCAGCAAGTCGCACTCTTCCCGCGACATGGTCTTGACGATAAAGCTCTCATCGGACGTGTAAAACATAAAGGCACCGCTTCGACCCTCGCTAAACCGTTCCTATTGGCATCCAAACATGAGATTCGAATTCATTTTGTCTCAAAAATGCAAGAAGGGAGAGGTGGAGGCCCACTCCTCGAACGAGGAGCTGGAAGCCGACCCCTCGGGCCCTCGACGAGACTCGAGAATGGGATATTGGATACGACATACCTTGGTTGTCGCCGAGAAAAGGCTCGTGTACTCGTGATCGCCGATGCCAAAAGTCTCGCGGATCGCACGGAACGTCGTTGGCGCGTACGACCAAAACTTGATGGCTTTGTTGTGCTAATAACCCCAGCATCAGGATGGGATGCATACAAACGAGAGAGGAGGATGGGGACGACCTTGTCGTCGGACGAGCCGTCGTTGAGCAGAAACATCTCGGACGTATTCGAGCCGTTCCCGACTTCATGCACCGACTGCTTGATGCCCGACGTGGTGTAGTAGAGAATCTCGGAGCGCAAGGCGAGGTTGACTTGGGGACTCAAGTCGACGTCAACGTCGTGGTTGCGGCCCTTGCCGCGGGTCTTCTGGACGTTGTTGACGGCGAACCAAATGATGTACTCGAGGTAGCCCTTGGACGCGATGAGAAACATGAAGAATTGCTTGAGGACCATGGGCGCCAAGTCGTCTTGATGCGTCGCCGAGTTGGTCACAAAGTATGTCGACATGTAGAGGAAGAGAAGGAAGAGCCAGTAAAACACCAGCGCCCCCGTAAACCTACACCGTTCCATAAGACAATGTGTCCATCATTTTTTCAAAAAACCGACAGAGAAATGTAGTTGAGAACGCGGAGACGGAGGTTGTACGTCTTGGGCACACCGCCAGAGTAGAGCCGGCGCCACGCAATCAAGAGCACACTACAGGCCGTCCTCAGAGATAGTACATCATCATCACAAGAGACGACGACCGACGTACACGAGCGACACGATCAGGACAAAGATCACAAAGCCATACAGCAAGATCCACGGCCTAACACGAGAGAAGTTGAGCGACTTAGAAGATTGATACAAAAAAACGGACCAGGTCTGGATCCGAAAGAATTTGGCTCCGACGTCTTCGTCCTTGCCCACCGTGGCCAACTTGTTGTTGCTCTTGATGGGCTCATCGAGGTTGCGCGACGACGCGAGGCAGAAACCAATGAGGTACTTGGCCGGCGCGGAGGTGTTGACGGCGCGACCGTCGACCTGGAAGAAGCCGCCGGCTTCGAGGCCGTCGTACTCTGCTGCAAACGTCACCACGCCCATGACCAGACCTAGCATTCAAAAGCTTGGCTTTGCATCCTGTATGTAAAGAGGAGCGTACTGGCGGTCCAGACAAAGGCGTGGTAAAACTTCATCGAGCGCTTGTAGCTCTTGAACGGGTCGTTGAGCTATCAGAAAAAAAATAAGAAAAGGCGCGTCTGAGATGCCAGACAAGACGTACCGACGAGAGAAGGTCGATGGCCATGACGAGGCCCCAAGCTTCGGACGAGAAGAAGAAGAACTCGGTCAGGCCCGCGAGGTTCTTGCATGCTTTGGTCGAGTTGAAGTCGCTGTTCGGAATCGGCTTCGGGTCGTAGTCGACATAGACGTTGAGTAGGAGGCAGATCGCGAGGAAGATGCTAAGGCAACTGCGCATGTGGACGATCGGGTTCGGGTGTTGATGCCACTCGCGCTTCTGCGAGTACGTCACGACGACCGCGAGGCCACAGACGATCGTGTTGACCGAGCCGGCAATGAGGCCCGCCCAGCGGTAGTTGTAAAAGGCCAGCGTCAAGCCCAAGCATGCCATCGTCCAGCAGATGCCCATGACCTGGCTCTTCTTGTTCTCCATCCAGTGGATCTTGGCGTTGGTTTGCCCGGTCATGCGCCCGCGGAACTGCTTCTGGAACTCCTTGTCGATCACATGGATGTGCGTACCGGCCATCGTGTTGTTGGACGGCGGCTGGTCGCGCGACGCCGGCGGCGCCATGTACTGCTGCGGTTGGCTTGGCCCTGCGCGTAGTACGAGGTCACGTCGCGCAGGCTCGGCGTGAGCTCCTGCATGTGCATGTAGTGGTCCGGCATGCCATACGGGCTCGTGTTGTCTTCCATGACCGGTAGCCCATCGGGCGCCGCAGTCGCCGAGCTCGACGACATCGTCGTCGGGTTCCGCCCAGGCCCGCGCTTGCTTCGCCGGGACGCCATCGTCGGTAAACTGGCCTTTGGGGCAGATGGGCGCAAGCTGAATTTCCCGCGACTTACAGCCGGCCGCGGGCCCCTACGTTTATATGCATTAAAGCATTGAAAACGCTTGCGGCCAGACTCGGGACGGTGTAAAAAAATATTTCCTTTCTATTGGCGTCGCACTGTAATAAAATGGAAACGCGCAAATCTGTCCTCGCCGACCAATCAGCGACGACCAGAAGCGTGACACACGCGCGTGTTTCGGTACTACCTTAGCGAATTCGGACGGCGCCCGCGATGCTACATGTGGCACATGCTGAAACAAAGCACAAAAGCCAACTGATCGTCTCGTCGTCAAAAGTCCAACGCAACCAGCCATGCAGTCGCTGGAGCGGTCGCGCGTCGATAGTACCGGCACGAGTATACCCGCTGCAAGCTCTTTGCCATGATGCTCGATACTAGTAAGCCAGCGCGAGAACGGTACCAGAGGCTGCGCTGGGTGGTACAGTAGTAAGTTGACGGGTGAATTCAGCGGTGCTACTGTACCATATATTTGGCACAATTTTGGCGACCGACGGATCAACATCGTCAAGCGTAGGTAATAACCAAGGTCATTGATGGATGAGGTACCACGGACTGGACCGTTGACAGGTAATACAATTTGAGCAATGGCAGGTGTACCTACCCCGGTACGCTCGCGCGTTGTCTTTGGCAGAGTTTATATGCCGCAAATGACACTAAATTCGGCATCCACATGCCGCCTGCACAGAATCTGTGCATGCTCGATCTGATCGAGCCAAGTTCAACGCGATTACATAACGAGGCCGCCATCGACGCGAAGACACTGGCCCGTGATGTAGCTCGCGCGGTCGCTCAAGAGGAAGGCGACAAGCTGCGCGACGTCGTCGGGCGTGCCGAGCCGCCGCAGCGACGTGAGCGCAATCGTCGCTGCCCGGGCCTCCTCGGTCATGTGCTCTTGGGTCATATCGGTTGCGATGAAGCCCGGCTCGACGAGGTTGACGCGAATGTTCTTGGGCCCGAGCTCCTTGGCGAGCGTCGTTGTGACGCCGAGAAGACCGGCCTTGGAGGCAGCGTACGCGGCTTGCCCGACGTTGCCCTTGGAGCCGACGACGCTGCCGAGTGTGACAATGCTGCCTACCCGCCAATCTCAGCCGAACGATGTGACGTGGTGGACAGACCCGTGCGCTGCTTCAGCATGCCCTTGGCGACGGCCTTGGTCATGAAGAGCGGGCCGAGAAGGTTGGTCGCGACAAGCGACTGTGCTTGGTCTTCGCGTAGCCGCAGAAGAAGGCTGTTGTGCGTGATACCTGCTGCATTGACGAGGCCCGTGACGGGCACGCCGCCGCTCATCGCGTGCAACGCCTCGAGCGCGGCTTCGGCGCTGCCCGGTGCGCTGGCTTCGTACGCGACGCCCAGTACGTCCGGTGCGATCGACGCCGCCGCCTCCGCCGCGCGGTCTGCGCAGCGCGACGTGATGGCGACATGCCACCCGTCGTGGTGCAGCTGCTGGGCGATCGCGCGACCTATGCCCCGGCTCCCGCCGGTCACGAGCGCCAGACGTCGGGCCATCGGTCTTGTCAAGCGGATGGGTGCGCGCAAGTGCGATACGCACTTAACCGATTGGGTGGTACTTGCAGCGTGGGCATCCGATAAAGTGCGGTCTGGGACATGGGCGGGGGCAGCTGGTGCGCGAAACTGCATGCGCTCGCATACAAATCTGCCTAGATCTGAACACACCAGCTGGTATATTAATAATATTTCGCGCGGCGTGCGACAGCATTACGGCGCGCCGGATAATTTAATATGGTCCCGCAGAAAATATGCCATCTCGTCCCAGAGCTGGAAGCCCCGACCGGTTTCGTCCGCACACAGGTCTACTCTTAAAATGCGTATTTTTACTGTATCTTTAATTGTGCATTATATATTTTATCCATTGTATTGTATTCAATACAAAACATATCATTAAATGACAGAAATAATATCGATATATGCAATTCAAAGGCTGGCCTATCTGGTGGGCGGTGTTTGCAGAGCGCCGGCGGCTAGCGATGGTAATGCATATTGCGCATACAATGGTCCAGTAAAAAGACTGCATCATCTCAGGTAGAGAGTATACTTGCTATTTGTATACCTGGGAGAGGATTAATATGCATTCTCGTCGCGGACCTATCTGGCGGAGCTTTTTTCAGACGTTGGCTTGGCACCTGTGAAACTCGACTTCAACGCTTTCTCCACACCCCAAGTCGCATCTTCCAGCGTCTACCTCGCGTCGCGCTCCATCTACCTATCTCGCCCTCGCTCCATCATGCCCTACGAGAGCTTTGCCGGCGGCGCTGCGAAGCGCGTCTTCGCCATCCTGAATGTGACCCTCGACGTCGACCAAGATGCGTATGTGTACGAGGTGCAGATCTCGATGCCTGTGTACCTCCCCGAGAGCGACGTCAAGTACCATGTCTACTCGGTGCTGCGCCGCTTCAACGACTTCAAGCGGCTCTACGAAGGTGTCGGCGACGTCGACGGGCTCAAGCTGCCCGAGTACGGTCTCTGGAGCGTCCTCCGCGCCGACGACGCTGCGTTCCTCGCGCAGCGCAAGCTCGGGCTCGAGACGATGCTCAAGACGATCGAAGAGAACGCGACCGCGAGCCGATCCGGTGCGTTTGCCGAGTTTCTCGCGTCGCCGCAAATGAAGCTCAACGGCGACGTGTCCTTCCAGCAGCTGACGACGACCGAGGACGCGACCAAGAGCCGCGCCAACTCGGCCGACCGGTCCTCGAACGCGACGCTTGTCGCCGACGACGAAGCCACGTCGAGTGACCCGTAGGCACCATCTTCCTCTCTTCCTCCTCTTCCTCCTCTTCCTCCTCTTCCTCCTCCTCTACCTGACCATGCTGCTAATTTATAACGACGACGACGACTCCACATCCGAGATGCATCAATCAACCATGTTCATCGACCTCACTCGGACGAGGGAGCATTCACAGACCACACGGGCGCGTTAAGCCCGAGCGTTTGCCATGGCTGGTCGTACAGCGCTCGGATCCGCGCTTCGATGCGCTTCTTTGTCCTACACGCCGCCGGTTCCATCATCATCATCATGACCTGTCTCGTCGACGAGGCAAAACGTACGCGTCGGTAAGCTGGCGAGGCAGCACCGAATGCGCGCGGCCAGTCCCGTCCGTGGCTTGCAGAAGGCCCTCGGCCACAAAGCGCCAGTTGGCACACGGCATGCCCTTGTACATGGTCCTACATGTCCATGAGGATGCCGAGATGGCAAGGAGGCGGATATGTGTGCATGCAGCTGGCAGCAGTACCAAGACGACGACGAGAAATGCTGCTCGTTGCCTTGGAGTGCCATCGCGTTGCGGGTCAGGAGCGACTCGAGCATCTTGTCGAGGAAGACATTTGACTGCCGCGCGAGGTACCCGAGATGCGACGTCGTCGTCGGCGTCGGCTGGAGCCCATGCTGCCGGCAGCGGTCGGTCACAATCTCACAGAGCGGCCGCGGCAGTGCGGGCAAGGCCGTCAGCGTTGGCTCGACCGCCGTCTCCGTGTCCGAGTCGCTGTCCAGATCCAAATCCAGTTGAATCGTGCTGGCGTCTTGCTCGAATCTATAGAGGAAATCAATCGTAAGACCAAGGTTCCATGCAAGGCGAGACGAACTCGGTCGAAAGCACGTTCTTGGGGTTGACGGGCCACACAAACGTGCTATGGGCCATAGAAAACCGCATGAGACGGCGAGAAATGGCAGACACGGTCGAGTGTACGAAGCGAGCTCGTCGTTTTCTTTGAGCGGCGCGCGCGTCGGTGGGCCGGACGGCGGCACGCCATAGTGAATGTGATGGAGCTCGGGCGCAGACACGTGGGACGCGAGGCAGCGCGCAATGCCCCATGCTCGCTCGACGTCGGTTTGACGGTCGGCCAACTAGTTAGTAGAAAAGTAGTAGAATAGTTGGTAGAGATAGAGAGGATGGAGAGGATGGTACAGTACCGCCTTTTGCGGCGGCACATTGTCGTCCAAGAGAAAGTCGTCCTGCGTCGCGTTGAGATCGACCGGCAGCGCGGCCTCGAGATGGTCGATCGTTGCAGCAGGCAGGGCCTCGACCTCGAGGACGGTGGCATCAGGGTCGTTGACCTCCATCACAGTGGCGTCAGGGTCGTTGACCTCGAGCTGCGTCGCGTCAGGATCCAGCGTCGCGTCATGCTCTACGTCCGACTGTGTGGCGTCGACGTCCCAGAGCGTGGACGCTCCTTCAGCGCTCGAGAGCTCGTCGTCTTCATCGTCGTCCGACTGGTTGATATCGTCGGCCGGCGGAATGCACTCGTCGTCGGACGCGTCGCTGGCCTAGATGCTGGCATGGGCCATGGAAAACGCATGTGGCTGCAACGTACTGCGTCATGCGCGCGCTTGGATGGACGCGCGCCGTCGTTCGACTACGTCCATGCGTGAGCTCCGTGGCGTCGCTCGCGATGCGTACGTCCAGCAGCCGCTTCCGTGTCCGGCCCATGCGTGCTCGTGCTTCCTTGGTCGGGAATACGTTCGATGCGATGATGCCATTGGCTGTTATCAAGCGCTGAATTCGGAAAGGAGCCAATCAGACGCCACAATAGGATTGCGGCTCTGTCGAGATAAAACGCGATGGCATCCCGCGACTCACACGTCGTGCATATTACAATACTAGTACTAGTACTGTAGTAGCGGCGCTATGTCGAGCCTCGCACTACAAGACCATCCAACCTCGTGCTCGTACCCGTATGCGGCTCTGGCATTGCGACAAGCTTAGCGAAGAGGACGAGCGATGGTCCGCGTCAAGAGCTTCCTGTCGTGTTTGCTCAGATTTGCATATCAAGAACAAGCGAAATCAAGTGCATATCAAGCATCTTCAAGAGTCTGGTTGCAGCTCGTAGTTAAAAGTTAAAACTAGCTTAGCTCGGGCTAACCAACCTAATCCAGTTCTACATTTGCCATCGAGCTCGCAACCACGTCGGGCACGACACTTGCCGTCATTGCGCTGCTGGTGACAACACGTGGAAATGCGAGAACACGTTGGAGAAAATGTGTTCGGCCTTGTTTGGTTTTGCAGGTCACAGACCATTTTCGTACACTCCCACTACTGGGTGTCACTTAACGTTGGACCCGACCGACAAGCGGCTGGAGGGTCGACGCTGCCTGCGTGACGACTACTCGTGTGGCTGTCCACGATGACGATCACCACACCGCTGCTAGTCGTCTACGGCAGTGATGCCACTGTGTGTGTGTGGACATGTTTTGTAGAGCTGGGAGCGGTGCTGATTGTGTTGTTCAATGGAAAGTGAGTGAAGTTAAGTCGATCTTGACCTTTCGATTTGTCTACAGCACTTGCGCTAGAGATAAGCAAGCCAACTACACCGCTACCAGCATGACTAGGCTTGGACCGACGTCAGCTGCCAACGGCTGACACGCTTCGTCTCCATCGCACTTCTTCCATCCCTGGGCACGTAAACTTTAACAAAATGTAGGAGAATACGGTGGCGACATATTGACTCACCGACGGCACCGCGCTGGAAATCGTCACAATCGTGAATGTGCTGCATGCCAAGGAGCCTGGTATGTGCTCCATGTAACGATGAGTGCGCCAACGATTCGTCAGCTCGAGTGTTTCTCGCACTAAAATCCACGAGTCCTTCATACACCAAACTGGATTCGTGACGATGATCCGGATTGCAATCGACAGCGTTGCGAGCTCGACACTCCGGGTACCGCAAGCTCCAGTCGCTTCAAGACAACATGCGACTTCCTCAAGCGCATTCTTTTCTGACGGCCCACGGGACCTGTTGCGGTAACGACTCGCCACATGCCTCGTTGTGTCGATGGCCGAGCGTGGCGATAGAGGACAAAAGGGACACATGCGTAAAGCCACCTTGGAATACTGTTCTGTTGACGTGCTAAAGAATGCGACGACGGCCCGGCGCCAGAAGCCATTGGTGCGGCCATTGCATGCCTGCGCAGCCACGGCCCGGCAAGCGAATGAAGAGGACGGAGATTGCTCGTCGCTACGAATGCGTCTGCGCTAGAGGACTCTCTCTTCAAAGGCAAAACAAAGTCTGATTACGATGAGCTATTGGAGCAGCGCCTAGTTGCCAGTCTGCCATCCAATCACAGGACGGTCGGAGCTAGGCCCAATTGGAGACTGCCACGAGGTCCCAACAATATTGCATCCGTCAATGGAAGGCTTCCAAAACACCTTTATTTGCAAATCCAGTTGGAATCCAGATGGCAACTGGATTGAAAAACGTGCGAATTTGTTTTCGCCCACGTGTGCGAAGACTCTTCTTCGCATTTGTGCAATCTGGCTGCGCATCTGGAGACCGCCAACCAGATCGGCAGCGAGGCGGAAGCGATGCGAAGAGGGCGGGGAAGAGGGGCTGTGATGGCTACATGGAGGGAAGAGGGAACATGAAGAAAACGGCAACTAGTACATTCGTCTGCATGTTTGAGGCTACCGACGTGTGGGCAGCTATAGCATGCCCATGCAGAGGCGGTTGATCGTGCGTCCGAGGTCGTCCAAGTCGTGGTTGTATGAGCTCGGGATGTCTTGGCACTTGGAATGACCGTATTGCTCCGCGAGGGCGTCTTGGTACGTGGCGAAAACGTACTCGCGCAGCGGCAAGCGCTGCGTCACGGCTGGGACGGCCCAGCCCGGGAACGCTGTGTCGAATTCCTTGAAGGGAACGGACTTGCCGTCGCTGAAAACGACGTTGTTGTCATTGACGACGCTCGTGGTACAGCTCTCCGAGACGAGGATACCGGTGCGGGTCCACGGCACGCCCACCAAGCCGGCCGGTTGATGGTACGTGTCGTGGAGCTTGTCGTCGTCGTCGACGCTCGCGTGGCCCAAGGCCTTGGTGCACGGGCAGCGGCAATGGGGGCACGGCTTGCCGCAGCGCGGGATGACACCGCTCGATGCACCGAACGACTCGTCGCGAATGAGCTCGAGCACTTTCGTCGCCATCGAGGTGCTCACGTCCGTCGAGACGCGGAACTTGGCACTGTGCGTCTCGAGGCTTTGGAGGACGGCGTTGAGGACGCTGGGCTTGGCGCTGCTCGTAAAGATGCCAGGACCTTGCTCGTCGCAGTTCATCAAGTCGTTGTCGCCCTTCGGTAGGTTCTCGACAAGCACACTCGTACCGCTGAGCTTGAGCCGGTCTTGGAGCGCAAGCCGGATCTCATGGACGAAGCGCTCGCTACGGCGCGTCTCGGCCTTGCCCGCAAGAGTCGCCGCGACAACGATGCTTTCCTTGACGTTGGCGACGATCGCCTCGCCCATGCGCGCATGACACTGCTGCACCTTGGCCAAAATGAGCTTCGTCATGACTTCGGTCCCATGCGCCTTTGGATTTCGGATCGCGTCGAGGACGGAACGCGTCGCGCCCGCTCGAATGCGCTCCAAGATGTCCTTGTCGAGGAAGGCTTGCATGGCCTCCGCGTCTTGGACCCAGCGCTGGCTCTTGAGGCTCGCCGCGACCTCGCTCACGAGCTGCTCTTCGAACGCTTGGTGGAGGTGGTGCTCAAGCCACCCGTCGAGCGTCGCGATGAGGAGGTCCGCCGCGACGTGGCCCTTGCAAATGTTCTCGGCAAACGCCTTCATGCTCGGCTTGCACGCGGCAAACTTGGTGACGATGCTGTTGTTGAGGTCCCAGCGCTTCTGGATCTTGGTCAAGGCGCTGACCAGGCCGTGGTACAGCGCCGCGAGGGCCGTCGACACGAGTGACGGGGACATGTCTTTTGTGAGCTTCTTGGCCTTGATCATCACCATGAGCACGACATCGTCAAGATAGCGCGGGACGTTGGCGAGCTCGGCGTTCAAGAGATCGTTGATCGCATCGATCACCGCGTCCTTGGGGCTCATCATTTGCTTGCTGCCGTTGAACCAATCGAACACCGCCGCACCCCACGAGGCCGTTGGCGTCGGAACCTTGCTCCATAAAACCTTCCGCAGCTCGACGCGCTGGTCGGGCGAGAACACATCGTTCTTGAAAATGGTGTCCTCGACACGGGGGCGCACTTGAAGCGGCGGGTGCTCGTCCCGGATGCGAGCCAGCATACGGTCAAAGATGGTATCAAACGCGCGCATCGCGGTCGCCGTATCGCCCTTCTCGATGTGCTGGGTGAGCTGCTTTTGAAGCTCGCCCTTGTAGACCTTGACTTGCGACTCGAAGAGGAAGACGTGGTCGACCTTGTCCTGGACGAGCCGCTTCGAGTGCTCGGCTTGGTTGTGCTTGAGGCCGACCCACTTGCGCTCGAGCGCAGCCTTCCACTGCGCAAACTTCTCCTGCGAGAGGTCGGCGTGCACCTTGACGTCAAGCGTTGCAACGGCGTCGACGACGTGGCCCTCGAGCAAGAGCGCGTACTTGGCGTTGCCGGATGCAAAGGGCACGCCGTTGGCGTCGTCGGCGCTAATGCGCTTGAGGATGTTGTCGAAGGCCGTCGAGTAGACCTTGGCGAGTTCCCGCGTGTGCTCGGTCATGCGCCGCATCAAGTGCTCGTATGCCACTTGTTCGTGGGCCGCGGAAAAGTTGAGCTGGAAGTTGGCCGTGCCAATGCAGGTCCATACACGCAGCAGCGCCTCGTTGAAGTCTTCGATCGTGCGGCCGCGCCAGTTGGCGCCACGCTCCATGGCGCGGGCGTTGATGTGGTCCCAAAACCCAAGCAGACGGTCTCCGTACGCGGCCTCGGGTGTGTCGAGCGGCGGCGCGGTTGTGCCGTGCGTCGTGCCGAAGAAGCGCACGTCGCACCCGTCCATGTCGGCAATGTCGGCGCGGAAGTCGCGAAAGTACTCGACGGACGACGCGACCGAGGGTGTGTTGTCGAGGCCGACTTCGTTGGCGCTAATCTCGGTGATCTTGGCCGCGTTCTCGCGCAGGTCCTTCATGAGCGTATCGACGATCGTCTCCATGTTGCTCGACTGCGTCAAGTCGATCTGGTTGAACGCAAAGTAGAGGTTGGCCGTGAGGTAGCTACCGTACTGCTCCACGAGCTCGGACCCGAGAAAGACCGAGAGCACGATCGGGAGGATCTCGCTGATCGTGACCGCCGACTCGCCTTTGGTCAAGATGATGGTGGCGTCGGACGGCAAGATGGCCAGCGTCGCCATGCGGTTGTCCCGCCACGCGCTGCCGTCCATGCCAATGTACTCGGGCGACCGAATCCCTTCCGTGTCCAGCAGCAGCACGTAGTCGTACGCCGCCGAGCCGTCAACCTGAAGGAGCTGGATGTTGAGCCCACGCGTGCAGCGAGAGACGGACGTGCGCAAGCGGACGCCAAACATGTAGTTGAGCAGCGTCGACTTGCCGGCCGACTGAACGCCCATGATCGAAAGCACAAAGATGCGCGTGCCCTTGGGGAGACAATCCCCGAGCTGGTTGAAGACGGCGCGGATCCACGTGATGTTGACCATGGCCGCGTCGCCGTCCATGAGCTCGAGCGGGAAGCCGTCACGAAGGTGCTGCGCCGCGAGCCGCGGGAGCAGCTTGTACTTGTTGGGGTCGGATCGAAAGATGTGCGAGAGCTCGCGCCAGAGATGCTCGAGGCCCGTCACCATCATGCTCCACTTCTCGAGCGCTGCTGCATACGCCTTGCGGTTTTCAGCGCTTCCGTTCTTGTTGAACGCATCCCGCGCAAGACGGTACTGGTCCCGCGCCGCCTGACTGATCGCCTCGCAACTCGTGGCGAGCCGGCGTTCGAGGTCGATGAGCATCATCTCGCGGTCCGCTGCATGGCGCTGCTCGAGCACGCGCAAAAAATACGCGAGGAGCGGGTTGGACTTGACAGCGCGCACCTTGGTCGCATGCTGGTCTTTGAGCGCCCGGATCTTTTGCGTGAGGACTTGGCGGTCAGGGACGTTCATCTCACGCTCCAACTGGATCTGGAGCTGGGCCTCCTGGGCGAAGAGTAGCTGGAGCTGGAACGTCTCGCGGCGCAGCGTGGCAAAGTTGGTGCGCGCAAGAGCATTGGTGGCCGTTGGCGGGACCACGTCGCTCGGAAGTAGAAGCGTCGGCAGAGTCACGTCGGCGACCGCAACGCGCGCGTGGGGCGGCGCCGCCTCGTCCAAGATGTAGTCGGTGAGCCGGCTGTGGGACGTCGTGATCGCACAGCGCATGGCGATCGTAAAGACGTCGTCCGACTTGCCCTCGATCGCTTCGTCGTCTTCGTCTTCGTTGGCGTTGCGCCAATGCACGACGCAGCCATGCGACAAGGTCAACGCCACGTCGTCGTCGTCGACCGTGCCCGCGTCCACAATGGCCGCATCCGCAAACGCTGTAATGAAAGGCAGGAGCGGCTTGTAGTTGCCGACAACGTGCAGCACCATGACAGGCGTGAACTCGGCGTTGCGCTTGACAAAGCCCCACCCGAGCTCGACGACGGTCGCCGACGTCACGTGGTTGCCATGGTTGCGGTCCAGACAGTGCATCGAGTCGACGTGGAAGGTGCCTTTGATCCAGTCTTTCGTCACGCTGTTCTTGGTCGGACGCTCCGAGACGACGGCGACGCGCGTGACCGACGTGTCCCGCATCAACGAGGCGCGCTGAGTGCCAATGAACGTTTCGATCAGTCCAAGCGGTGTCGCTTCCGACCGGAAAAGGCCGGTGTCCGATGGCACGAGATACGGCACCAGAAGGCGGCGGTCGAGCATGAGCCGGAAGACTTCAGCGCGCGCCGTCGGCGTCAGCGGGCTCGTAAGACCCAGCAAAGCATCGAGCATCACTGGCCGCGCGGACTCGGCCGTCGATGACTTGGCCTTGGCACCGCGCACCGCGCGTGTGGCCGCGGGCTTGGCGGCGCCACCGTGGTCAACAAACAGCTCCTTCTCGAGCCCCAAACGGTGCTTGAGCATGTGCCAAATGCGCTCTCGCGGGTCGCTTGCCGCCGTCGACCGCGGCGTGACGCGAACGAGGTGACTGAGCGATCGTCCTTCTGGTGTCAACGCCTTGGCCGCGAACGGCGACGGCTCCGGCGCGTCTTCGTCGCCGCTTTCGTCCACCACTTTGTCGACATCGAACGCGCTTTGGAGCTCGCGCACCAACGTCTCGATGTGCTCTTTCGTGAGGTCGTTGGCGAAGCCTTCGGGGAAGCAGCCATATCCTTGCGCGATGCGCCAGTACGTGTGGTGCTTTGGTGTCGCACCCGACACAAGGTTCGTGACGAGGAAGGCGCCGAGGCGATCTTGGAGTTGGCGCAAATCGGGCACGACCACGCCCAAGTAGGGGCGACAGAGCTCTTCGACGGCCTCGGGCAACGTCCCGACGTCGACACTCGGTGGCTCCCACACGGCCCCCGTCGTCTCGGGAGCGGTGAGGGCACGCGACCGCTTGAGCGACTCGGCGAACGCCGCATCGAGGTTTACGACCGGCGTTGCGTACGCAAGCTTGGGCTCGATCACGTGGTGGAAGACATCGCTGAGGCGCTGCAGCGTGGCAGGCGGCGCCACGTTGGCCGCGGCGGTGAGCGCGCTCCGCATCTCGGGCTGGCGAAAGTGCTTCACCGTGAGCTCGAGGTCGAACTCGCTGTCGAGGCGCGCGAGGAAGAGGCAAAAGTCGAGCATCGTTTCGCCATGGTCGTTGCTGCCGCGTTGGAGCGCCGTCACAATGGCCAGCGCGTGCCGCTCCGCAAGGTGCGACGCCGCCGTGGCATCCGCCACCTCCATGTGCAGCATCTCGGACCCGACGGACGGGTCGCACAGCCACGCGTTCACGCGCGCACGCTCCATGGCCTTGCGCACGGACGGGACTGCAATCGACGCTTGCGCAGACGTGAGCCACGTCTTGCGGATGAGGTCGGCCGCCTCCTTGCAATGCGGCAACTCGGCGACGAGATCCCAGACGCCAACGAGCGCCGTCGACGACGCCGGGCGGTCAATGACGCGCCACGTCCGATTGCTCGCGAGCAGCTTGTCGCGGAAGATGGTAAAACTCGGCGCGTCAGGCCCCGTGTGCTCGAGGCGCGTCACGATGTCGCACTGGCGCGCTTTTTCTTGGCGCCGGAGCCGTCCGCACTCGCCTCGAACGTGCCGCAGCGGACGTCAATGCCGACGCCAAACCCGAGCGCACCGTACTCGGCCGAGAGGTGCGACGAGGCGTGCTTGCGGCAGGCCTCGGTCATCTCGCGAACGTCCGTCGCCTCCTTCGTGGACATCTCGGTCGTCTTCCAGTAGATGCCGCCAAAGTGGTAGCTGCCACTCGACACGTGCGACCCGTAGTCCTCGAGAAAGTACGCCGCCGCCGCGGACGACGTCACGTTCTTCGCGTCGTTGATTGCGTCGTCCGTAAGGCGCATCGATGAGCGGTCGAGCCGGAACGACTTGACTGGCACGACGGCGTACGTGACGTGCGCGACGGAGGTTGTCGTTGTCGCTGTCGTCGCCGCGTTGCGACTCTCTTTGGCGGACCCAGAGTGGTGACCTGCGCTTCCCGCGAAGTAGCCGTACGAGCCTTTGACGTCAAGGCCAAACGACTTGCCGCACGACTTGACCGTGGTGCGGAAGGTCGCCGCAGCATCCACGCTTGCAAACTGCTCGTCGGCCGTGATCGTGTTGGCAATCGGGCCATTGAGTGTGCACTCTGCTGGCGGCTGCAAGAACGGCTTGGCTGCGAGCTGGACCAAGTCGTTGCCCGAGACGCCGAAGCGAATACCGTAGAGCACGGCGCCACCACTCGCGTGCGTAATCACCTCTTTGTCCGAGAGGTTGGGCTCCATTTCGGAGGACTTGAGCGCTTCGTCGAGGATCGTGGTGAGCACCGGGAGGCGCTCAAAGAGGCTGGACGGGTCCGCGAGCTTGTCGTCGTCGATGGTCCACTTCACCAAGCCGAGCTTGGCCGTGAGCGCGTTGAGGCGATCGACGGCAGCGGGAATTGACGCCTCGTCGTCCGTGTTGAGCGCTGTCTGAAGCTCACTTGACGCGGCTCGCGCCTCGGTCAAGACGGCGACGAGATGCGACAACGCGGCTGTTGGTACCCCCATGCTGCTAGACTCGGATGGGTGAAACGAGGCGAATGGGAAAGTGAGCGATGAGGCCAGCTCGCAAACTGCGCCAGCGCGAATCGTGCAAGGGTCTTGTATGTGTTTTACCCAGCAACAGTTTGACCGTGCTGAAAACGCTGAGGTTTCCATGCCAAAGTCACGTGGTACTACCATCGCAATGATAGAGGATAGTTTTTATCAAACGGCAAAGCTTCACGGATTTAAGACTAGTCTACTGTCCAGTATCTTAGTACCCCAAATTCCTCGACCGGTTGTCGTTTGTCGCTTCTGCTCGGGGTTGTGGAGATATATATTTTGTTTGAATGCGTTTCGTTTTATTATCCTACTATTATATTACTGGATTTTCAAACGAATGGATCTTCGTCTCCTTCGCTTCGACGTCACTGCTACTGTTCCTTGCAAGCCCTGCAAATTCAGGAAGCGGCTGGGATTGTGACAATGTGCGCCCTCAATAGGAACGTGACCAAATCAGTCGAAGTGCATGTTTGTGGCACGCATCAATTTCACAGGAATATTACCTATCTAGAAGCAATATGTTTGAACGCAGCAATATAATTCCGTACGAATAGAATGGATGTTCTGTTACGCACCTTGGACATGCGCAATTACTGATAGTACCGGATTGGTTGCAGCCGTTGGCAGGATACTATTAATATGTACCGCCTACATGTACATGCTTTGCCGAAATGCACACATAACAAACATATGATGTGGATGGGAGGCATCTTTCGAACTTCCCGACCCTTACAACCCCTCACCCCACCAGTGAACGGCTGGGAATAGTACAATACACTCCGTGTCACCCCAAAAATTCTTTAACCCGGGGCTTTGATGACCTCTAATAGCGCCCTCAAACCCTCCCAGCTCCTTTGGGGTCGCATACACCCACCTGTTTCCTAGCCAATCAAAACTCCCTTGAAACCTGCAGACCATCTGTTCCGTGTGCATTTGGGCGGTTCGCACGCACGTAGTCTTTAAGGATACTGAAATCTTGCTTCTGTCTTGCACCTTGGCACCGCGCAGTGAGCTTGAGCTCACGGTGCATTGGGATAAATGAGCCACACTAGTATACTGTACCGAAGTGTTTGATCAATTATCAGTGGCACCAGTACCGGTAGTGGTACCCCCCGGCGTGCGGGAGATCCGACTGTAGTACGTACAGTACAGTACTGCGCACGAGGTCATGAATCACTTTGCAGCCGCGCTTGATTATCTTTGCTCGGGGTTGTGGGGCAGTGCGGCTCGACAACTCCTTTTAAAATAGTTGTAGCACTCGGCCATCCCGGCTTCTTGTCTTGATAAGCCCTCAAACCGATGGAAGAGCTCAAATTCTTCTGGTTTGAGAATAAATGTACTGGGGTGAACCCAGTCAGTGGCTGTAAGTTGCGGCCGAAACGGCCTATGTCTAGTGGGCAAAGCTTGGTTGGTGTGTCGTGCTTGAACAATCCGCTCTCAGCCTCTGAGATCTGAGAAGAGAGGAAGAGTTGCAGAGTGCTGCGAGAGAGTAACAAGGGCTCCAGTTGTCCGAATACTTATCCGGTCATTACAAACAGACTAGATATAGACAGGCTAGCAAAATTGCTACTCTCTACGTATGCGAACTCTTTATACTATCAAAGGTAACGCGAAATACGTTCACATATGTACATATTATGAGCAGTGGAGCACGGCGCCAAAGACGAGACGGACCAAACTCTCGCACTCTCTTATTCTTGAAAGTGATGAGAGCCACTGTAATGGATGCCAACGCCTTGGACACAGATGGGCACATCGGTACCACGATGCTTTGCACGTGAGCGAGATCATTTCTTGCGCTTGCCGAGCAGCAGCTTGCTGAGCTTGCCAGTGATGAGGATCGTGGCGGAGAAGCCAGCTACTCGAAGCTTGGCGACAAACGGTGCAGCAGAGTTTCGGCCGCTCGAGCTCCTATTTTCTCCCTACGTTTCAGTACATCACATACAATTAGCACATTTTAAACTCTATTGGTTTCAAATAGGTCTCGATTGAGAGTAAGCCGTGCATCTGATACGTTCTTGCTTTTGAGAAGGATTGCATCAGTGTTGTTAAGAGTACGTTTCGGATCCGATGCAGTAAATAATGATATGTCTCGCTAGTATCGGATATACGATGTTCTCGCTGTTGGTCCGTGCAGCTTCGAATCATCTCCAACGCCGCGCCGCTGACACCTCAGCACAGCCTCGCCGCCGCCGTTGAGACTCGTCGTTTGAACAAACCCACCAGGGATGTAGCAGTCTACGGCGCAATGCATTCACCACAAATTTCCCGTGTTTGAATGTGTGTGGGTACTACCGCGAACGGACATTAATTGTACATGAGCCCGTACGCAGACACATAGCACTGACGCACCTCTACCGATTGCACGCTGCCCGAAGAAATCAGGAGGTTAACTTCAGTCGTTGTTTCTAAGATTTCAACGACTAACTGCAAGTCGACAGCTTCTGGCGCTTCGCTGCTGGCATCGCCGCCTCGTCACCTTGGTCATGAGACGTCATTTTGCGCTTGTCGTGCTCGTCACCCAGCAGCATCACCAGCGTCCGTGTTCGCTGCTGTCGCTCCACCTCGTGGTGGCGCGCCTCGAGGACCATGGCGTGGCGCTTTACGAACGTTGCGACGCGAACGTTGAGGTACGTCGCATGATGATCGATGCTGCATGACAGGCGCGTCGCTAGTAGTTGAGCCATCGCCGCAAGCTTGTCGCACAGGGTCGTCGGCGACTCGGCGTACCACGCAAGGGCCCACTGGGCGCGTGTCGACGATCGCAAAAAGGCTTCAAAACGTCGGCAGGCGCGGCAGCACGGCTCCAGGACCACGTCCGTGATGGCCATGTCCGACGTCAACAGCGGCAGCTCGTCCTCTGTTTTGTACGTGGGAAGCACGCGGAGCATCGCGAAGGCCAGCGTTTTTTGACCACGCAGCGACAAGCCGATCGCTGTGGCGTCTTGGAGCAGCGGCCACACAAAGGCCTCGTGCAGCGCCATCACATCGCCGACGGCCCCGACAATCGATGCTAGGAACACGTCGAACGTCATCGTCGCTGCCGACGACGATGTAAGCTGCGCCGACAAAAGAACGCGGGCCGTCGATTTCGCCATGGCGCGCCACGACGCCGTCTCCTTTGCAAGGTTGTTTTGAATCGCCTCTAGCGTCGTCGTTGTCACGACGGCGAGGACGCTCGTCTCGAGGCCAACAAGAACGTCTTCTTCCAGCGCGGCCAAGAACATGGCGATCGTATCGAGGGCCAACGCACCCCAGAGAGTCACGAGGGCTTGCAGCATCGGTGCGTCCAACGCGTGGATCGAGTGCAGCACGCGCAAGACGCAGGTCGCATCAGGAACTGTCATGAGGTTGCTTGGCGTGGCATCCATCGGAGCGACGTGGACGGTTGCGAGCAAAAGTGTCTCGCACCACAGAAGGCGGTTGGGCAAAAGAGTCTCAAGGGCTGGTGCGAGCACGGTCTGCGGATGGAAGAGCGCCGGCTGCGACTGCACGAGCGTCTGCAACCGATGTTTCTCGTCCTTGACATAGGCGGCAAGGCGACTGCCGTCGCAGATAATCGCTGCCAAGGACGCGCGCGTGCTGTTGGTCGGATTGCGCTCGACCAAAGTGAGGTCCATCAGAACAGCGTAGGCCGACACGATCGAGGCACGGGCGCCGGGAATCGACAGCGGCAAGCACAGCGGCGCGACCGAGACGCCGGCAAAGCTCGCAAGCAGCTGACAGCCGACGGCGAAGCTGCTCCAGCGCGTCGTCCACCAGCGCAAGATGTACTCGAGCAGCGGGAAAAGTGCGTACGTGCCAAAGCGCTGGATGGTCGCGTGCATACTCGGCGCCATCAACGCCAAGTGCGTTGGCGCGACAAAGAAATCCAGCGGCTCCCAGAGCTCCTCAACGAGACGCACGTCGCCAACGGCAAGGACGAGATGCCCCAGCGCCGCCGTGCACGCCCACGTCTTGGCGCTGCTATTGTAGCGTGTCGTGGCGTTGCGCTCTCGGGCTGCCTGTTCCAAGTAACCGAGCATGGCGTCGACGAGGCAGCGTCGCGTAGCGATCGTCGCCGACGTCGTTGCAAAGACATCAAGCGCGACTGGAAGCCCAAGCACATACGGACGGTGGGCCTTGTGCCAAAACACGAGGCTTGTGCGCCGATGGTCGCCGGAGCGGCGCAAATCGCCGACGTTGACTGTGTGCAGAAAGGCCGGCACCGACCGCCCTCGCAGTGCCAGCGCGCACTCACTGGGTAGTCTCGAGCTTGGGTGCATGGTCGCCTGCGCAATGACAAAGGGAGCGTCGCCGTCGTCGGTGTAGTGCACGATGGCCACGTCGTACATCTCGGACGCGATGAGTGCGTGGGCGAACGCTCGGTCGCGACTGCCGCTTGGCAGGTCCTGGAAGGTCGTAAACGCAAACTGAGGGCGAATGCCGTAGCCGACGAGTGGGTACGTTCGCGGTGGCTTGGCGCCAACGGCAACGAGCGCAGCGATCGCCGCGCGCACGCCCTCTGAGATGGGCGAGGATGGCGCGGCTCCACCGACGAGATCGAAGACGGCGACGACGGCGTGGCCGGCTGAGATCGGCGCCATCGCGATCGTTGCTGCGCGGTGCGCGACGGCGATGGCAAAGGTGCTGCTGAGGCAGTCGCTGCAGACGGACGTGGTCGTCGCTGCTTCAAACGCAACAGAAAGGGCGCCGCCTTCCACGTAGCTCGGAAAGGTCAAGAGAAGCGTCCCGACGCTGGCAGGTGCTCGCGTGATGGGCTCGAGGCGGGCTGTCGCAGATGCAGGACCATGGATCATGACATGGGAAAGGACGGGCGTGAGCGGAGCGCTGCCCCACACAAAGTGATCGCGCAACGTGGCGTCGAGGCGGCGCGGAAGCGCGTTGGCCCACGCTGTCGGCGGCACCAGACCATCTCGCGCGTCGAGTTGCAGCATCGTCGTGGGCACGATGCCCGATGGATGCAGGCCAAGGATGGCGTCGACGACCCGCGTATCTTGCGACCACTTGCGGCTACTGGTGAAGCCAAGGACCGAGAGGCTCGGCGCCATCGCGTCGTCCAAGCTGCCGACGTAGGCATACTCGTACGTGGCGCAAGCGTCGCGCGGGAGGTAGTCGAGCGCGTCTTCGTACGGCGCCTTGGCCACGTCGATCGGCGCGCAGTCGAGGTAGCCCATGCTGCCACGTCGGGCCCAACTCTGGAATGGGGAACATTGGTGACCGTGGATTGGCCAAAATGCCGACGGTGGCAGAATGTTGGTCGCTTCCCGCCGATGCGGCGCGGGAAAAAGGAAAGTCTGGACGATATTGATACCAATAGAGTAGGACGCTAGTACACGCTATATAGCTATATAGAGCTTTGAATGAACATATACATTGTCCTATTGCACCAGGTACTGCCGTCGCATGGCTCCTCCACGGCGCACAAAGCGTCGGCAAAGTCGTCCGGATACGATGCGAACTCCAAGTTCGCGATCTTTCCGGATACAGCGATGTGGGATTGGGTATAAAATCCTCCTGCACCTCATGTTCGCTTGATTTGTCACCTTTGCGACCTGTGACAGAATTGCTTTCTCTACTTGTAGGCTTGCCGTAACGATGGATTCATGTAGAATTGACAATATTAACCAATATGGCATGGATTACACCTGGCATTGACGTCGAGTCGTCTCTACCGAGGGCCACCACAAAGTTAACTTTAGTTGAAGAGTCTATCCCGTCCCCTTGTCAGCGCCAGCGTCCGTCGGTCGCATCTCCTCGGGCACTGTGATGGAACGAATCGCCACAGTCGCTGCGGGAAACTCTTGCAGGCTTGGTCGACCTTGCAGGCTTGGTTGACCTTTGTTGCGGATGCAGCGGTTCGAAGCGTGGGTTGATGGCGTTGGCAGTGGAAAGGGGCGGCGAGAGGCGCTTCAACTAAAGTTTACGTTGTGGTGGCCCTGGATAGAGTCGCGCGCATGCGTTTGTGCTCGCAGATGCAAATGTGATTTCGTTGGCCAGCGATGGATCTCGAGTCTGGATCCATCGCGCGTTCTAGATTTTCGAACGACAGGTTGTGCCGGATATCGGCGCCAAGACCGCGGTATAACCGGACACCAAGATCGCGCGCCACAACTTGCGGGTCCATCAACCTTGGACATACCAGCGCTCATACACTGCAACGCTCAAGATGAGGAAGAAGTCCGAGGTAAAAGCTCAAGCGTTGAGACTCTACCGTCAATACCGTCTCTGTAGGAAATGAAAGGCACTCGGTAGCCGCCCGAACAACTTTAGAAGCATGCACGCCGGGTTGTCTACCGTCTCCTCCTAGTCTAAATGCTGGATCGCTCCTTGTCATGACAAAGTTGGTGCAAGTCGCAGCAGAGCGATGAAATAATAGAGGTCATAGAAAAAGAGTTGTGGGTGGGGGGCCCTCCCAGAGGGAGGTCAGAAATTAGTGAAGCCGCATTGTTTGTAAGACGTCCACGGTAATCTTTAGTAAAAGGCGAAAGATTAGTACGAGTAAGCGCTTTACTGCGGGATACTGATTTTAACATGAAAGGTACCGTTGCTGCAAACGAAGATCGGAAATTCCGGATATGCGTTCCCCATGTGACCATTTTCTTGAGCAGCGATTCGAATCCGCCCACTTCTGCAGAAATGGAGTGTTGGACCCCAGTCGTTGGACCCAACAAAACGGGAATTTCCTTGTCAACAATGACACAACCAATATCAACCAATTTGATCGGGAAATACTCAACGTCCAATGTACGACGCACCAGATCGATGCGATAACCAGATAGCCAGCAATATCGTCATTATGCACTTGTCGTTGTCGCCTCTAACCTACCGGTACCCGAGAGGACTCGAGGCCAATGAAATCAATCGTCTCTTGCCCGCCCGAGCGTGAGGTCAACCCTTCTCTACATATGCTGTGTTTGCAGAGCGGATGAAGCGGCTCCAAGTCCCTTGCGTATGGACGCTCATTGCCATACGCGAGCTCGGCGTCCATATACAGCCATCACTGGCTGTCCTGCAGGCTGCTCGTCCTCGTTCGGGTCATCCATATACCATACAGTGTATCCACATATATTGGCACATATAATATTGTGCGAAATTACAACAAAATTCCATCCCCTTTTTCTTTCCTCGACAAAATAGACTTAATCAACCACCATGTGAGCACGCTACTTGGTACTTGATGTCGGGCACGGATCGACCAAAATGCCATTCGTACATGGGCTTTTTGGCCGCATGCAGCTGGCGGCGCGTCGCATGGGCCATCAACGCCTCGGCGCTCGCCAGCGTGCGCACCACCAGTCGCAGCGTCGTGCCGCATCCAATCGCACTCACCAAGGCCCGTAACGCCGCCATCGGCAGCGCGCTTGCATGCAATTCCAGCGTCGCCGACTTGGGCGTTGAGATCTTGTACATGGCCGTCGTGAAGCCAGCGGCGACCGCCACGTCCTGCACACTCATGGCCAGCGCTTGCCCTGCGCGACCAAAGAACGCCGGCAGCGCCGTCGTCAGCGCCAGAAAGGGACTCGTCGCGTCGTCGTGTGGATCGTGGTAGCAGTTGTCCAACGTGACGGACACGAGACATTGGGATGTGACCATAAGGCTTGCGATCGCCATGATCGCGCGTCGCGAGAGCCGCATGGACGACAAGTGCAGGCGACGCAAGGACGTCAATGGCGCGAAATCGTCGAGAACTCCGTGCAGAAGTGTCAAGGACTGCAAGGCCGGCGCTCTCCCGAGTGCGGTCACGGCCCGCGTGAGGTTGCAGAGCGCGACGGTCCGGATATCGAGCGTACGCACGTGCGACGTCTGCAGCTTGAGGGCCACGGCGGTAATGTCGTTGGCGGCGTGGTAGTCGACGGCGGTAAGGTGGAGGCAAGTGAGCTGTGGTGGAAACAAGGGTCGGCTTGCGGCACCAAGCGCGCGGAGCAGCGGCGGCATCTCGTGCACGTTGAGCGTCGCCGCCTCGGTTGTAAGTGGCAGGCCCGTGAGATGCACGTTCTCGAGGCTGGATTGCGTCATCATGTACTCTGCCAACCACGAGATGTCCATCGTGACGTGCCGGCTCGTCTCGGACCCGCGCCAGACAAAGTACGTAAGCGACTGCAACCGTGGGCAGAGCGCGAGCACGCGGCGAAGATGCGGCCACGTCTCGCATTGCGGGTCCGTCACCGAGAGCGATGTGATCTGTGGCGCCCAGAGCCCGTACGTCGCTTCAATCTCTCGCAAGTCGCCGACCAGCGCCGAGACGGTCGTGTTGGCCATGAGCGGCACGTAGCGCGCGATCGGCGGTGTCGCGATGAAGGCATTCACGTGGAGCTGCCGGAGAACGGGCAGCGCCACCTGTACGAGACGGTCGAGACCAGCCGGCGAGCTCGAGCTGGCGCTGGAGGCGGAAGGAGCGTAGAGGTCCGAGAGGCTTGCGATGGGCCAGACGACGGACGGGTCGTGCACGCGCTGGAGCAAGGCCAAGAGGCTCTGCAGCGGTGCGTCGTCGCGCAGCCGTGGCAGTACTTGGAGAAAGCGCTTGACGTCGGTCGCATCTCGGAGGTAGCACATGACGTGGCGCGCCAAGGCGCCAGTCAAGAGGCAGCCCGCGTCGGTCGTCGGCTTGGCCCGCTTCGGTGGCGGCGGCCCGTCCATGATGAGGCCGCTGGTTGCTTTCTGCCCGATCTCGCATCGCACCGAAATTGCCGCAAAGCAAATGGCGCGCTGTGATTGGTGAAAAAGAGTCGACAATGGAATCGGACGGCAATTGTCGACTGCGTTCGCTTGCCGGCGCAGGTTCCTTCTGGACGTGAGCGGATGGCGCCAGCTATCAGTTCTGAGCGCATGGCCGCCTCCCATCCCAGCCACAGATGCCCGAATTCGATCCCACGTGCACGCCCTGTCAAGGTCGCAGTTGTTGGCATCCCTATGTAAAAAAGGCTAGCTTTTTGAAGTTGATTGCCCTTGAGCGCGTACTTGTCGAGGTCCGTGGGAGCTGCACAGAGCGCTTGCACTCGTCGTAGCATGCAGTGTAGAGGGCTTGTTGCGTTGATGCTAAATCATGGCGTCCTTGCTATGAATGAGCGGCGGCGGGCTACAAGACGACTGCATTGCTATAATAGGGCTTGCCGCCAAGTGCAGCGAGTGCTTTAGCGGCTGTAGAGTGCACTGCGTGGTACCAGTGATAAATCCAAAAATGTGGGCAATTCGGCGCTGCGGTCCAACGTGGTGTGTGCCGGTGCTGCAAAAAATCTGGCCACGGTGGATATACAAACAGCGTCAACTTGATATATAGAGTCGCATGCCGCTGTATGCGCAACACGGCACGGTTCCTCAAGATGTTATGTTGCGTTGGCGAAGTAGGTACAACTAATAGCGTGCCGTTTTTTTCAAAAGAACTACTGTAGCGTGTTGTCCATCGTCATACTTTCAATGTCGCTAAGTGCGTTCACAAACAGAACAGCGCCATGTCCTGCGACCGTGGTGGGATCAAGAATATCAAATGCAATCGTTGGGCCACGTGCAATGTGATAAAATATATCCGAGTCAGCTTAATTATTCTGGTCCGGCGGTTTATTACCGGACGGACCACCATGGGTTTCTATTTCTATGCAAGCTACTTGATCGACTGGCAGCTAGTGATTTCTTTCCACTACTCCCGCGGAGCGCGATGAGCTCGGGCGATCGCATCTCGTTTGACTGCGCTGCACGGAGGACGGCTACGTCGCGCCCAGTCTTCGCCGACGTGGCAATTTTAAACACGAACCTCTACCATTTTATACGTTTCGTATCGGATGTGGAAGGTATGACGTGGCGCTTGGATATTCCAGTAGAGTCCACATCGGATGATGGGCAGCGATCTCGCAGACGGGCAACTTGTTGCGCGTTGGCGTTGAACGCCAGTGAGCGATTGAACGAAGTCAAAAGCTTTGCAAGCGTAGCACTACGTCGGAGCACGAGCCAATTCTACCTCGGAACGTGTCCCTCACTACATGTCGAGCCAGACAAGCCTGCGCTGGAGAAAGTCAGACTGTTGTCACCCATCAAAAATGTGTCATATTGAGTTAAACGCTATGCCACCGTGACGATTGGCGCGGTGGCGACGTCAGTACACCGGGCTGCACCTGCACGAGCTGGTGCAGCTTCATATGCTTTCGGGTGCCGTCGGTGTAGCGGCGCATGCCCACATGTAGCGTGACGTTGTGGCTCGCCCCCAGCATGCCCAAAAAGAGCTTTGTCGACGCCTTCATGAAAGGATTTGACCGCACATTGACCGTGAGCGGCCGTCGGTTCGTGCCCGAAGCGAGCGCAATGACAAGAATCGCAGCGTCGTCGTCACAGAGTTGTGTCCCGCGGAGATTCAACGTCTCAAGGCCTCTTGCCATCCACGCCGGCAGCGCCCGCGCCAGCTCGACGAACCCAGCCGCTCCGAGCTGCGTGCGGTCCAAGTCGACGTCCTTTAGGCAGCGCGAGGTCGAGAGCCACTGGATGAGCTTGACGGCGTCGCCAGGTGTCTTGAACGTCGTATCCCGCAAGGCGACCGTCGACAAGTGCGACCAAGTTCCCGTCGTCCTGATCGGAGCTATGTGGACGCGGACAAGCCGGAGTGTCCGGAGCGCAGGGCACAGCGCGAGTGTGTCGAGCACGCTCGTTCCGGGCCGGTTGACACCAACGTCGCCATTGTTGCCCTGGCCCTCGAAACGATTAAAGATGACCGTATGGACCTTGGTGCGATCGACCTTCTTGACCAAGCCGAGGGTGGCACCGACGCCGAAACGCGATTCAACGACGGTGAGCGATGTGATGTGCGTCAAGGTCTTTGGCGATGCCATGAGCGCTTCTTGAACGTTGCTCACGGCATGAAGCTTCAAGGACCGTAGCGTCGTGCAAGCGAGAATTGCGTCGGCGAGGGCCGTCGGGTCGGACACGGAAGAGCACCCGAGGTTGAGTGACGTCGCATGCGGTCCTTGGAGCCAGGACACAATCGCAGACGCATCCATTGGACCAAAGGCGGAGGCAACCGCTTGGAGCGTATGCAAGTGCTGCTTCGGCAGCGCTGTAAGGTACGTTGTCATGACTGGCGGCGTAGCGTGCTCGATCGTCACGCTTTGGACGTTGACAAGGCGTCCGAGGAGGTCCGGGACCGGGCTTGGTTCCTCCCAAGGGCCTTTGACAGCCACATGCATGGCGCGGTCGCCCCATGCATTGACAAAGGCGCTCAGCGTATCGTGGCCCGACGGATCCACGACCAACGTTAGCGGCATCGTGGGCGGCAGTTTGGCGTCAAGCCAGTCGAGCGACGTAGAGCCAGCGTCCATGTAGATGCCGGCGAATGCAGGTAGCGCAGCCACGCCAAGGCGTGTGTGCTCGATCGGCATCGTGGTGACATGCACGACCGGCCAGTGGTCGGCGAGGTCCACGGCGGCGCCGAGGTCGCGGAGCGCAACGAGCTCGGGCGATAGCATCTCGTCTGGCAGCGCTGCAAGGAGGGCAGCGACGTCGCGTCCATCCTTCAGCATGGCGAGGATGTCATGTAGCACGGCGCATGGCAGGCTCGGCAACGTGGCATGACGTGGCACTCGGACATGTACGGGATGGCTAGCGATCTACGAGACTGGCAACAAAGAGGCCAGATAGACAAAATGCGAGAGTACACATTCAATAATCGAGTACTTCAGGTAGCTATGCTGCAGCCGATACTTGGACATGCGTACGGGTTCTACTTGTTCCATTTTCACTCCTTTGTACTGGACAGCCTGTGCTGGAGCATTTGGACTGGTTCCATCATTTGTCTAGGACGACAAAACGATGGCGCAAGCGCAGCCTTGTCGTGTCTACCTCGTGCTATCGGCATCTCGGCTCAATCTCTTTTTCGTCGCAGTGTGATAAGACTTTACGACGCACCTTGTTTTCTTGCCTTATCTTTTATCCAAAGCAAGGTCTGCCAGCAAGACAATCATAGTACGAGTATGCATTAAGTTTCTAGCACACCTACGATTAATGGTTCAAATGGCATACCACGGCGACGACGAGCGCGGTGGCGACGTCAGTACGCCGGGCTGCACCAGCACAAGATGGTGCAGCTGCACATAGTTTTGGATGCTGGCTGTGAAGCGGCCCGTGCCCACATGTAGCGTGACGTTGTGGCTCGCCCCCAGCATGTCCAAAAAGAGCTTTGTCGACGCCTCTGAGAAAGGGTTTGACCGCACATTGACCGTGAGCGGCCGTCGGTTCGTGCCCGAAGCGAGCGCAACGACGAGGATGGCAGCGTCGTCGTCACCCATCTTTGTCTCCTGAAGTCTCAAACTCTGTAGGCCTCTCGCCATCCACGCCGGCAGCGCCCGCGCCAGCTCGACAAACCCAGCCGTCCCGAGCTGCGTATAGCCCAAGTCGACGTCCTTTAGGCAGCGCGAGGTCGAGAGCCACTGGAGGAGCTTGACGGCGTCGCCAGGTGTCTTGAACGTCGTATTCTGCACGGCGACCGTCGACAAGTGCGACCAGGTTCCAGTCGTCGTGGTCGGAGTTATGTGGATGCGGACAAGCCGGAGTGTCCGGAGCGCGGGGCACAGCGCGAGTGTGTCGAGCACACTCGTTTCGGGCCGGTTGCCAAAGTCGTTGTCGCCCATGCCTTTTATATGTTCAAAGTCGAAAAAGACGATCTTGGTGCGATCGAGCTTCTTGACCAAGCCGAGGGTGGCACCGTCGCCGAAACGCGATTCCACGACGGTGAGCGATGTGATGTGCGGCAAGGTCTTTGGCGATGCCACCAGCGCTTCTTGAACGTCCATCGCGCCCAAGAGGCTCAAGGTTCTCAGCGTAACGCATGCTTGAATCGCATCGGCGAGCGCCGACGGGTCGGACACGGAAGAGCACCCCAGTGTCAACGACGTCGCGTGCGGTTCTTGGAGCCATGCAACCATCGCAGACGTGTCCATTGGACCAAAGGCGGAGGTAATCACCGTGAGCGTATGCAAATGCTGCTTTGGAAGCGCTGCCATGTACGTCGCCGTGTCGGATGTCGTGGCGTCTTGAATCGTCGCTGTCTAGACGTTGACGCAGCGTCCAAGGAGGTCCGGAATCGCGTCGGGCTGTATGTCATGACCGTGGACAATGACGGTCGTGACACGGTCGCCCCACGCATAGGCAAAGGCGCTTTGCGTGCCGAGCACAGAAGGATCCACGGCCAGCGTCAGTGGCATCCTCGGCGGCAAGGTCGCGTCCAGCCACGCGACGGCGGCGATGCCAGGATCCACGTAGATACCGGCGAATGCAGGTAGCGCGGCAATACCAAGGCGTGTGTGCTCGATCGGTATCGTGGTGACATGCACGACCGGCCAGTGGTCGGCGAGGTCGACGACGGCGCTGAGGTCGCGGAGCGCAACGAGCTCGGGCGAGAGCATCTCGGCTGGCAGCGCTGCAAGGAGGGCAGCCACGTCGCGCCCATCCTTCAGCATGGCGAGGATGCCATGCAGCACGACGCATGGCAGTCTTGGCGACGTGGCACGCTGGCAGACGCGCTTGGTCATCTGTGACCGCGGCAAAATGGATAAGTACCTCTACGAATGGATGGACCAAGGTATTCAATTTGGACGGTATGACGTGGCACTTGGAGCTGCAAGGAAAGATCCAGATGGCGCGTACTACCAGTACCGATGACTTGTCCCCTGATCCGGATACATCAAGAAAAGACAGAATCAAAATCAATCAATATCGCTAGCGCTAAAAGCTATGCCACGGCGACGACGTCGGAGGCGACATGAAGACACCAGGGCGCACTTCTACGAGCCGATGCCGCTGCACAAGGCTGTACAACGTGTTATGGTGGCACGTCTCCACATGCAATGCGACGTTGCGGCAGGCGCTGAGCGCCCCCAAGAGCAGCTTCACGGAAGCGACTCCAAGCTCATTCGACGTCATATCGACGGTCAGAGGCCGTCGGTTCTTGCCCGAGGCAAGCGCGACGGCAAAGAGTACAACGTCGTTGTCACTGATACCCGTCCCAGAGAGCACTAACGTCCGAAGCCCGCGCGCCATCCACGCCGGCAGCGCCCACGCGAGCTCTCCAAATCCAGCGGCCCCGAGCTTCGTGTGGCTCAAGTCGACAACCGTGAGGCAGCGCGACGTCGAGAGCTGCTGGATCACGTTGACGACGTCATTGGCCGCCTTGAACGTACTCCGACGCAGGGTGACAGACGTCAGCTGTGGCCAGACACCCGCCGTCGTCACAGCCGCAAGACGTGCGTTGACGAGACGCATTGTCTCCAGAGCCGGGTAGACCGCGAGCGTGTTGATGACGTTCATGACGGGCAGCTCGTCGTCACTGTCGCTGTCAGTGACATCGACAGCTTGGGAAGCTCGAGGGTGAACGAGAGGAGCTTGGTCGGATTCAGCTTTTGGAGCAATCCCACGGCAGACCCGCCGTCGCCATATCTGTCACGCACGGCAAGCGACGTAATATGGTGCAAGTCTTTGGGCAAGGCGACCAACGCGCGTTGAAGATCGATCGCGTCCACAATGCGCAATGACGTCAGCGTCGTCGATGCTTGGATCGCGCGCGCCAGCGCCGTCGGGGCATTCACTGCGTCGCACGCAAGCGTCAACGACGTTGCCTTGGGTCCTTGCAGCCAGGCAACGATGGCCGAGATATCGTCCAGCTGCCCGTCCGCATGAAGCACCTTGAGCGTGTGCAAATGCGTCATCGGAATTGCCGCCACGTACGTAGCAATGCTGTTTGGTTCCGCCCGGTTCTTGATGGTCACCGATTCCACGTTGACGCAGCGTGCGAGGACGTCGGGGATCGGGTCGAGCTCGACATAGCAGCCCTTGAGAACAACGTTGACGACGTGGCTGCCCCAGACGTGCACAAAGGCGCAGAGCGCGCCGGGAACCTTGGGGTCGACATCGAGCGACACGGGCATATGCGGCGGTAGCGTCGCGTCGAGCCAGGCGAGCGGCGCAAAACCAGGGTCCACGTGGATGCCCTTGAACGCTGGTAGCGCGGCGATGGCCAAGCGAGCATGCTGGACTGGGATCTTGGTCGCATGGACAACAGGCCAGTGGTCAGTGAGGTAGACAAGAGTGCTAAGGTCGCGGAGCGCGAGGAGCTCTGGCGGCAGCGTCGCCACTGGCAGCGCGTTGAGCACAGAAAGTACATCGTGCGTGCCGTTCAGCATCTGGAGGAGGGCATGGAGCGCGACGCTTGGTAGGCGTGGGGATGCGGCACGCTGGCAAATGCGCTTGGACATGGTCGAGGTGTTTTCAAAGTTGCCAAGTCTCTCGACCCGAAGGCCCAACGAACGGGTTCTATTTCAGGGCCATGACGTGGCACTTGGAGATGCTAGAACAGGGTTGTATGGACGCGTGGCATTTGCGCTGGCGCTTGCGGTAGCGATGTCCTCGGTCCTTTTGACAATAACACGTCGTCGGGTGCCCCTGCGATGTGGACATCTTCTGCCCCAATGAGGTGATGTAGCTGGGCTACAATTGTAGAACGACCACAGCCGCATGCACTCCCTCGTCCATACAAAAGGTAGCGTGTTTTGTGTGTGCGGCTGTGGTTGTTCTACGATCTGTGTGCCCTCCCGCGATTATTATTGCCTATGCACGCAGAGCCAATGCACGCAGAGTCTTATGTCTGCAGCAAGGGAAGAGTCTTATTCCCTCGGTCTGTAGTACCAGTACGTGCGACACCAACGGCAGAAAGGCGCCAGAAGACGGCCCACCCACATTTGAGAGACGCTGTCAAGTCCGCTACAAGGTATGGGCACGTTGAGCACTCGAGTTAATAATGCCGCCGAGGTGTGACAGGCGACGGCGCCTTGAAGACACCAGACGACACCTCGTAACGCTGGTGCACGCGCAAGAGTTCTTCAACTTGTACGAATTGGTCACAGACGTAGGCAAAGGCACTGAGCGCACCAGGCACCGACGCATCTGCAACCAGCGTCACGGGCGCTTTGGGCGTCGCATCGAGCCACGCCAACGAGGCCACGCCAGAGTCCACGTGCACGCCAGTAAAGGCAGGCAGCGCGGCGATGGCCAAGTGAGCATGTTGGATCGGGATCTTGGTCACGTTGACGACCGGCCAGTGCTCGTCGAGGTCGACGACGGCGCCGAGGTCGCGAAGTGCGACGAGCTAGGGCGGTAGTGTCACCACCGGCAGCGCATCGAGCAGGTTGAGGACATCGCTGTCGTCGTCTAGCATGTGGAGGAGGCCATGTAGAACGAAGCCTGGCAGGCTCGAAGAGCTCGTGGCACGCTGGCAGCCGCGCTTGGTCATCGTCGAAATTGCTGGTGCGTGCGCTGTTCCTCTACGATTCGATAGGTGGATCGAATTTATAGGGTTATGACGTGGCGCCAGGACATGCAAGGCCAGATTGCATTTGCGATGCCGTGAGAGATCAGGCACGTGCAATGTCGGTAGCTATAGTACGTATGGTCAAGCTAGTTGTGCTTCTGTAATAGGTGAGGGATGAGTCTTCTTTTGTGTGCGGAATCCATGGGTCCATTAGAGCCGTATTACTGCGTTGAACGCTAATCGGCGTGCCACTGTAACGGGATGTGGGATGGCGACTGGAAGACACCAGGTTGCACTTGTACTCTAGTACGAGCTGATGCTGCTGCACAAGGTCCCAGAGACCCGGCATCCAGTTGTACGTCATGTCGGAGAGCGTGCGCGTCCAATGAGCTCGCGATGAGCTTGGAGAGGCTCAGGGTCTGAAGCCGGGACGTTGCGAGGGCAGAGCAAAAAAACAAAACGCACGGACCTCGTCGATCGGCGCCAGCGTGGTTGCTCGCATTGTTGATTGAACGCACCTTGGGACAGTGCTGCAAGAGGCGACAGGTGCCTTGCCACAGCGAGCCGTCCGTGTCGGTGAGCTGGATCTCCGCCATGTTGGCCGTCGAAACCACCTCGCACGAGTCGATGGCGTTCGTCACGCTGCCCTTCCTCGACGACAACTACGAACTACGCCTACTTGCTCATCGACAAGGCGTCGGCGACTGCGCGCTCGTCGATCCCGCCGCCCCGTACGCGCTGCTCGACGTCGGGCGCGAGGTGACCCTGCGCTATCGCAATGGCCACACGTACATTTGGACGACGCCAAAGCACTTTAGCCACGCAGGCGGCAACAAGATCCTCGACACATCGTCGTCACCAAGCTCACCACGTGGCACACAGACAGGCGCATGCAGCCTCCGCATCGAGACGCTGCAGTGCGATACCATCGTACATCCTTCTCTGCTTGTGATTCCGTTGATGCAAACGAGGATGATGCTCATGGTGGTGTATGTAGGGCCATCTCGGGTATCATGTCACAGCGCCGGGCAAGTCCAAGGACGAAGGGTGTCTTTGCGGGTGATACTTGTGCTCTCGTTTCATCTTTAGACGTGATCATTTCATGCTATGCTAGTGCTTGTGACCGGTTCTTTCAAGGCAACGGCGACCAGGTAGATGCGAGATGCGCTGGATGCATGGACGATGGACGATGCGGTAGATGTACCGAACCTTGTGCGTGGTGCGGGGCAGCCTTCCTACGACGACCACGGTATATGGCGACTACAAGTACACGCTGGAGAACCTTGCGTTTGCATTGTTTATTGAGATCGAGAACGAGGTCGTCCTCTCTCTCCTGTCTTTTTTGTCGTTGATGTTGGCGCAAGGCAAACGCGTCGATCGAGTGGGCGATGAGTGAGTGCGCAAGAAGCGACTGCCGACGGAGCCGTCGACGCTCGTCGACGAGTTTGCGAGTGACCCGTTCCTGCGTCGCCGCTGTGGCAATTGTAACCCACCATGTATGTACTTTTGGCATGTCGCTCTGGTTTGTATGATGCACCGATGGATGTAATAGCATGCCAAGCATCCGACGCACGCCGGCGAGCTCGTTCAGTGTCTCTGCGATATCATGAAGGACGCGGGCGTGCATGTCAAGGAGATGGCTGCGCGTAGAACCTCCTGTACGCTGATGGTGGTTTGGACGCTTCTGGTGTTGCGTCTAGAGGCTCCATACATTTAGGATTTTGAGATGGAGATTCGTGCAAGATGTAGATAATCGAACGCGAGAAACACGAGGTGATATTGGCACGTTATGCGTAGAATAGTGTCTGCCTCTAGGCTAATTGGAGGTAGTGCAGCGTCCCATCGTCAAAGTTAATACCGTACACCGTGTTGCCAACGACCTCGAACGCATCAATCATCTTGTTGTCGTACGGGTACGTCTTCCATCTCCCAGCCAACATGTCAGTGACAGATGTGACGCAAGAGATGACGCTCGAGAGCGATGTGACGCAAACGGTTGAACCATCGGCGGCTGCGTAGAATCCGTCGGCGATCTTTGTGAAGTTGGTGATTGCCTTCTTGGTTGCGTCCACGGTGGCGTAGTACATGACGTAGCCGTCATAGCCGTCGTAGATAAGTGCGTGGTCCTTGACGAAGGCGCGTACCGCGAGGAGACGCCCGTGCGTCCAATCTTGGAAGGACCCGAAGCCGTTGCCGTCGTTGGTCGCGCAGCGAAAACCTGGGTCTCGGATGCACAGCGTTTGACCGTCGGTGGGAGACAAGTAGCCGAGAGGCCCCGTCACCAGCGTCGACGTCTCTTTTGTCTTCAAGTTGGTCACGGTGATGTTGTTTTAGCCGCTCTTGCCACTGTAGAGCACACCGTTCGCGCACGAAGCGAATTCTTGGCTGCTGCCGACGCTGGTCATCGTCGGCTGGCCTGGGACCCACGTAAACACTTCACCTTTCTTGAAAAAGCAGAGGCCTTGACTGTCGCCCGACACGCCTTTGAAACCATTGCCAAGACCCAGCGGCCTCCATGTCCCAGGCGCTTCGGTCGTCGGCGCCGGCGCCGCGGTCGTCGCAGTGGGAACCGGTGCAGTCGTTGAAACGTCTGCGCCGCAGCCAGGGTGCGCTGTGGCGAAAGCCGCGAGGACCATGGTCGCGCACACGGCAAGGCGCAAAAGGACTGCCTTCATGGTACCGAGTTGGCAAATGCAAAAGTGAGTATGCAGCCCAACAACGAGGCAGTGGTCAGAGCTCTTGTCAGATGATGCATCCGTAGAGAGGGCGCGTGCAGATTTCCACGGATTCGATGGTCAGTCGAGCTGTGTACTCTCGTCTCACCCAGTCTCAGCTTCCAAGGACGTCGTTTATCTGGATGGTACGGACAAAAGCAGTCGGCAAGACCGCCGGTGGTGTACATGTACCTCTACGCTACGACGCGCTTCCTTGCGCAAGAGGCAGTAGGCCAGACTCTCGACGCTTGGACGACGTCCAGTGCATAAATACTGGCGAGTAGGCTGGCGCATCCGTCGAGTCGTATCTCCTCAGAGCTTCTCGGAAGAAACGGAGCACGTATTACACCGCATTCTCTATCAGCGCCTCTTAGCTGCTTGCAACGCGCCGTGGCCATTCACTCATACGCACTATGGTACTATAGCAGGTGTAGTGGGTGCAAGCAAATCCAAGTGGACGAGCTTGCTTGCGCCCCACGCGCGCTCGACTTTTTCTGCGTGGGATGCGAGGCCCTGAACACAAGAAGGCCACAATCCCGTGCAAAACGTCCACGTCGGAACGTGTGTGGATCTGCAGCTTGTTCGGGTACTTGAACCTTCCAGCCAACTTCCACCACCTCACCCATCGCCGTATACCACGACAGGTACTAGTACATGTAAGAACCACCAAGAACCGCTCGCTTTCATGTGGAAAGTTGAGCGGCTCGTTGTTCGTGGTCAGCAAATCAGCGAAACAAAATTCGGAGCGAACGGCAGCGGCGGTGACACGCCGTCAATGTTATTGTTGTTCAAGTACCGTACGGCAATTAGACATAGTGTACACGGATCTGTTTTTGGTGGTGGACGTTCGACACCAAGCGTCGTGCGATGATCAGCAGCGGCGGTGGTTCGCCGTGGCCGGGACAAGGCGAGGCGTGTGGAGGGCGCCGGCCGTGATGGCGTGGTCGCGGCCAGGCGTCGTGGCGTCGTGCTTGCATCATTCGGAAGAGGCGCGTTGCCTGCGTGTTGCGCAGCAAGTGTTGAAGGTGCAGGTGGTGCTGGAACGGTGTCGTTTTCTCCGGTGTCGACACCGTCGTCCACGTCGACGTCGTTGTCTCGACATGGCTCCAACGCGCGAGTTTCTGGATTTGGACGGCGCCGCAACGAAAAGCCACGTGCTGCACAATACTCGTCGTAGATTTGATCGTTCATGCGCCGTAAGGCTTGGTCGATCACAAATTCGCGCGCCCGACGTGCGAACGCCTGCGCCGCCGCATCGTTGTTCCGCGTCTTTCTCTTCGCCGCGCGCGGTCTCTGAGGACTCATTTCACGCGAGGAACTCTACAATATCCTATTGAAAGGGGTGTCCGTTTCACTGCACCACCGTCCACCAACCACACAACGTTTCGTCGCTGCAACACGTGGCGCTACCACAGCTCGCAGTGCAAAAGCTCCATGCACATCAACAGTGGTACCACATGTTGCCCCACAAAGTATGAAAATATCATACTTTGTGTCGTACTAAATTTAATACGACACCCTACCGTCAATTCGACAATGTTTTTGGCTCGAAAAAGTCTCCCGAGTCCTCGCTCAAGACTAGTCGAGTTGCAGCTGTAGTTCCAGTTGGTTGCCTGCAGAGAAACATGCATTGTAAATCCATTATCAGTCGTGATTGTAGCAACCCCTAGGATCCTCCGGTATGTAAATCACGCCTCGACACCGCCAATGGGCACCTTGCATCGCAGGCGGTAGCGCGGGGCCGACTCGTCGTCGCGCGGCGGCCCAACCTGGATATGTGGCTGCAGACCCAGCGTCTCTGCATGAGCGACAAGCGCGTCACTTTGGTCCGAGTCGCCTTCCACGACGAGCGTCATACGTGCGCAGTGCGCCAAGGCATCGAGGAGACCGCGGGTCGCGTCGTCCAGTAGCAGCTGTGCCGCGCAGACCTTCAACGTCACCTCGGCGGTGTGACGCGTGCGCGTCATCGCTTGTGCGAGCGCCGCGGCGCCCTGTGGACCAAACACGTCCAACGTCAGTGCCGTTCCGGCGCGGCCAAAGAAGGCGGGAAGCGCGCGAATCATCGCCGCCGGTGGGCCATCCACGTACAAACAGCCGTGGACACGGACGGTCTCCAGCACCGACGACGTTGCCATGAGTTGTCCGATCGCTTGCATCGTGGCGTGGTTGACAGTGGCCGAGAGCACATGCAGATGCCGCAATCGGAGAAGGAGCGGAAAGGTCTCTAGGATGACGTTCTGGATCGTCAGTGACGTGAGCTCCGGCAGACTGTCGAGGGTCATGGCGGCGTCCGTGACGTCAATGGCCTCACGCCAGTGCAGTGTACGCAAGCGCGTCGTCGTGAGCTTACGAACGAGTCGCATCAAGTGCTCGGCCGTGATGGCGGCAACGTCCAGTGACGCCAGTTGCACCGGGAACGACGGCCCGTCGTCGCGCAAAAGATGATCCCAAAGCGCCGGCATCTGGTAGATCGTGAGGGTGGTGAGCGTTCTCGATTGCAAAAGCGCCTGCGCCAGCGCGTCCAAGGCGCGCGGACTCGCGTTGAGCTTGCTGAGACTTAGCGTTCGAAGCTGGGACGTTGCGAGGGCCGTGCAAAACGCCGAGGTGTCGGCGGTCGGCGCGCCGTCGACAGCCCTGCTCACGTAGGTGATCGAGCGCAGCTTCGGACAGCTTTGGAGGAGGCGAGCGATATTTTGCCACGTCGATCCGTCCTGGTCGACGAGCTTGACCTCGATCATGTTGGCTGTCCAGGCGGCAAAGTCGTCGACGCTAGATGCGCTGTAAAACCCGCCGACGACCTTCGTGTGCGCCTGCAGGGTGACGTGGCGCCACACTTCTGGTACAGGAATGAGGTCGAAGATGTTGATAGCGCTAAAGAGCGGGAGCGCTCCAGCAACGAGACCGTAGAGGGTCGGCACGGCATGGAAGGGGAGCGCGGGTACTGTCGGGTCGTGTTCCTGGACGGCGTTGTACAAGACAGCGACTTGTTCAAGGACAGCGGGGTCGGCCACGGCACAGAGACGACTCGTTTCAAGCGTCGGCCGCACCAAGTCGCGCGATGGCACCGCGTTCAAGAGCGCCAACAGGCTCGTCAAGGCAGGATCGGAGACGTCGGTAGGCAGCGCTCGAAGCAAGCGCTCGACTTCATTCGCGTCAGCGAGGCAGCGCACTAAGGTGCGCGCAAGGACGCTCAGGACAAGGCGTCCTGACGTGGCGTGGTCGACGACCTCGATTCGCAGCCTTGCCGCCATTGACCCGTCGAATGTGGTATGCAGCGATGCCATTGGCTGTCTTCTATTCTTGACGGGCCAATGAGATGCCGTCATCTGCTTTTGATTGAATTCCCATGCAGCGATGACTTTGGTATGCAATGGAAGCGGGACACGGCGCCACGTCATGCGTATGACGCACCCGTCGTCAACGTTGATCGTGTTCCGCAAGGTGGCTCGAATCGGAGGCGCGATGGCCAAAAGTGCCAGGAGGCTTGTCCAGGCGGGACCCAACATGACAGTGCACAGCGCTTGAAGCAGGCGCTCGACGTCGTCGACGTCCGCGAGGCAGCGCACGAGGCTGCGCGCCATGACGTCCAGGACCATGTGTGCCTACGGCGTGGCGTCGCCATTGCTACGGTTGATGCCATTGGCTGTTGGCTGCCATTTGTTTGCCATGGACCAATGAGAAGCCTTGGATCTAGACTGTGATCGCTCAGGTGATCGATTGCATTCGGAAAAGCGCCCAGACCGCCAGCTGCACGTGGCTGGTCGATCTCTGCTCTGCAATGTGTCGTGTGGGACGAGGTCTTTATGGTTTGATCTGGTAAGTTGGTGCATTTATGAACTGTAGTCCTCGTCGTGTGCTTGTGTATCAATTGCTGTTATCTATCAACTTGATACGATTGGCGACCGCAATATGTTCTAAACACCCGTTGTAACGACGCCACCGCTGGTTTGCACAATGGCTGCGCTGACGTTCGAGGCCGCCCACCCCAAGCTAATCGTGCGCCGGCCTGATCTCCGCGCCCTCTCGGATCTGCGCATCGTACGACTGGGCACCTTGAAGTCGCATGGAATGCTCTGCTGCATTAGGAAAATGCAGCGCGGCTCGTGTGCTTGAACGTCTCGGACAGCATTCTTCAAGACTTGGCCGTCGACTCGACGCTTGTCTACCCTGCGTTGGAGGTACTCTCTTCAATGCCGTTCTTCTTCTGTCCTCATTAATAAGTGTATAGCACCTCAATGCGAGCCGCAACTGGCTGTCGGATATGAGCCACCTGCGCTGTTTTTTGTCGCTTGTTCACGTTGATCTGTCGCACAACCAGATTCGCACGGTGGATGGTCTCGAGAGCCTCCAGCATTTGCTGGTCGAATTGGTCACAAAATTGGACTCTTGCTACATTCCCGTAGGTCTTGGATCTGAGCCACAACGTGGTACGCACCTTTCTCGACGTGCGGTCCATGTCCCTCAACCGCGTACGTTGATGCGACAGACGCTACCAGATGTGCTTCACAACCACATTTTGTAGTCGCTCCAGAGTCTCCACCTCCACCACAATCCGATCGCAGATCTCAAAGGCTACCGTGCCCGGCTCGCGTCGCTCTTGCCAAGCTTGCTCATGCTTGACGATGTCCGGTACCCTCGAAAGCCGAATGCGGCGTCTGTCGACGCGGCTGCGTCATCACCATGTTCTGTCTGTCGTCCGCCTAGTGCGCAGCGGGTTCCCGTAGCCACCTCTAATGGTTATCGAACCGTCAACCATTTACAACCGTGTTGTAGAGAAAAGGGGTCGCGTCACGGGACCACCAAGCGCTCTCGGACGCAATGCGAAGCAAGCCGCGCGCCAATGCCAGTCGCCCGACCACGCATAGTACGGTGCCTAGTCCCCGAGTATCAGTTGCTGCAATGGTAGCACCAGATAGGTCGAGAGCCAAAACCACCAATTCCTCCCCCGTCCATCTTCTCGATGAGCTCCACAAAGTTATCGCGCCTCCACCGCGCCACGTCGCCACTACGAAATGGAGTTTGAGTTTGATTCAACGGGCAGCCAAGGACGCCATTCGGGCGATTTCGGTTTGCTCTACAGGCTGGTTCAACCCTCGTCTTGATGCAGTAAAGTAGACACCGGATGGCGACGCGGCAGCGAGCACGATGCTGGGATCGCAGGATCCAGCGCAGACAACCTGTCCGCCGGCTCGCACAGCTCCGGTGCAAGCAGCTTCGGTTCATGACCGTGTTCCAAGTCTTATCGAACGGTCGCTCGGGCCATTGGAGCAGCTGTTGGACCCGACACGTCAACTGAGCGACGACGAGATCATGGCGCTTGTGGCGGCGGCGGCTATCGACGAGCCGTACGAGCCCACGGCGTTGGAAGAAGTCCTCTTGGGCTTTGAAGCGACGCTGGCGACCTTGCCGATGGTTTGCGATTGCCATGGCTATGAACGTCGGAACGTCGACGCTCTTGGCGCAGAAATATCCGAGCTGTTGGCGACGGACCGCCGGACCAGCGCCCATCGAGCAGCGTACCACTGAGTCATCTGCCAAGACGGCGCGTCTTGCTCTATAGAACATTTTGCATTATTGATAATGGAGCTTGAACTGACGCCAAGGACATATTGTCTTCCTTCGTAGTGTGCACAAAGAGTCTGGTGAGGCATTGACTAACAGTGTAAATACGTCAAATGCGTGGAGACCGGACGACAGTTACTGATGTTCCTACTCAGTACCGGCCGGATGCGAGCACAGACTCGATTGGTGTCTACCATGCTGATGATTTCTTGATGGCATGCGCATATGGGAATTATGCAGAGCCTATGACGTCGGCGCCGCATCATGGTATGACCCGCTGCTGCTTTCATATCTTGTGCGTGCTTGGCACTGGCCTCGCGAGGAAGCGCGGCGAAGTCACGCCAGCGATCGAGTCGTGGCGCGCTCGTCCCGCAGGCGATGGAATAAAAGCGCACGACGACGACTTATGTTGTTCTATTACCTCGCCTCCACGATATCTCTACCTATTCTTCGTGGTGGTATTCCTTCTCCAAGGCCGCGATCTCGGCGGCGTCTTCGAACTCGAGGCGCATGCCTTCCTTGATGGCAGCGGCCTCCTGGTTGGCCCACCGCTCGGTCATCTCGTGCGGCTTGGTGCTCGGGATGAAGGCCTCGCCACGCACTTGGTAGTACTTTTGCAGGAACCGGTCGCCCTCAACGTGCTCGTACTTCTCCATGAGCATTGCGAACGCCTTCTTCTCCGGCACGCCGAGCTCGATAAGCGTGAGCTGCTCGTCGGCAAACTCGTACGCGGTCTCGTCGTCGGTCGGGAAGCCGCACTTGCGCGCGTAGAGCTCGGCGAGGCGATCCTGCGGGAACTCGAGCTTGGGCAGCTTGTCGTAGTCGGTCCGGGGCATGGCCGGCGGCGGGAAGCGGTTGACCATCTCGAGCCACTCGGGCGCCTCCATGCCACGGTTGCGGACCATGCCCCGCGTGTGCGTGATGACGTTCTTGATGATCTTGCGAGCGCGGCCCATGTCGTCGACTTCCTCCTGCTCTTCCGCGATTGGCAATAAGAACCACTGGCCGCAACCCATCCGGATAGAAATACCGGATACGGGGCGCCTGTATCCGGATGTCGAAGCCCTCGCTACTAGATTGTCGGCGAGTGCTTGTATCGAGGGCCTCGGCTTCCATCTTCATCAGTGGTCGAAAGCGCAACACAGGCAGCATGAAGCTCGTCCGGTATGCGGCCACGGGGCATGGGCAGGGCGGCGCGGTGGCCGCCCGCGCCCATGGCCTTACCATGAAGGGTTATGCTCATGATGGCGCGATGGCATAGGTTCCTCATGAAGCTCTCGAACGAGACGGTGACCATCGAGCTCAAGAACGGGACGGTCGTGCATGGCACGGTCACAGGCGTCGACATTAGCATGAACACGCACCTGAAGGCCGTCAAGATGACGGTCAAGGGCAAGAACCCGACGTCGCTCGACTCGCTGAGCATCCGTGGCAACAACATCCGCTGCTACATTTTGCCCGACTCGCTCAACCTCGACACACTCCTCATTGACGACACGCCCAAGCAAAAGGTCAAGGCCACGGGGGCCGGCGCAATGGCCGCCAAGGGCCGCGGCCGAGGCCGTGGGCGCGGTCGTGGGCGCGGCCGCCCGTAATCGTATGCGCGACTATGCCCCTTCTAATCCATCGTGTTATGTATAAGCGTTGACATCTCGAGATCGCGGGATCGAGCGCCTTGGTCACCGTCGCCTGCGATGCGTAGCGAGCGATACCGCGTTGCCGCTTGTCGACGCTGTCACTTTCGTCGAGCCCATGCCAGCTGCTGTATCGTGGACGTGACCTGAGCCGAGCGTGAGGCCAGGAGGCGACGGCGACACAAGATACCCTACGTCGCTCGCCACGTCACCAGCGCACCCTTCATGACCCTCCTAGCAGCATCGGTACCAAGCACGTACGAATGCATGCTCGAAAGCCCAGCATCTGAGCTACTAGTACGTCCGAGCATAGACCGGTTTGGATCTTGGAAAGGCGCGACGATCGCCATAATCTCTTTTAAAAACCCATTTTGAGATTTGTTTTGAAATTCAGATCCGACGTGGCAACTCCCATGCGAGGCTTCAAGTATACCAGGTAAGACCCTACCGCACGCGTAGCTGTCGCTGCACGTTGGCGCTTTTGACCGGACGCGACGGGCTGCGCTTGGGACGCTGGACATGGATTTTGGCAGGCTACATAGTTCGACGGGTATCATGTGTGACAGTGCAAGCATTTCAATCCGAGCCGATGGCAACGACCGACGACGCGATCGAGGCCAACACGGTCGACATGCACCTTTCCGCGACTTCGCCGAGCCTGCCAAGCGTCGTGGTCTATGCTATCCTGCAGGCCATGGAGAACGGACGGGACGTGGCTGCCTTTCTGGCCGCGCTGCCAGACGAAACGCTGCCGCCCGACCTCGCAGCGCTCCGCGACCTCGGCGCTGTCGTCGACCTCGCCGACCACTGGCCATTCGTCCGCGTGGTGCATGTCCCGACAGAGTACGCTCGCGTCGCGATTGCCGCGCTGCCTGCGTTTGGCGGCGTCATTATCGACCCTGGCTTTGCCGCGCTCGCGTGGCTCCATGCCGAGCTGCCACATGCGATGCCCGTGTATCTCGTCTTGGACCCGTCCGTGTCTGGCGTCCCCGGCGCCTTTGCGTTCAACTGGGGCGACTGCATTACCCATGTCATTGTCCATGGCCACAAGGTGTCGCCCGACCCGATCCCGGACATCCTCGCCCACTGCATGTACGTTCAGTCTGTCTCGATCGTGAGCGCGACGACGCCAGCCGCCGCGGCTGCGTACTTGGGAGCGATCGTGACGACGGACTTGCGCACGCTCAGCGTGC